GGGGGCAGGACTTGGGTGCCCCGGCACCCATGGGGGCAGGCCGTGGGTGCCCCAGCACCCGTGGGGGCAGGACTTGGGTGCCCTGGCACCCATGGGGGCAGGCCGTGGGTGCCCCAGCACCCGTGGGGGCAGGACTTGGGTGCCCTGGCACCCATGGGGGCAGGCCGTGGGTGCCCCAGCACCCGTGGGGGCAGGACTCGGGTGCCCTGGCACCCGTGAGGGCAGGCCGTGGGTGCCCCGGCACCCGTGGGTGCCTTACCTCGGCCTTGAGCTCGTCGATGTGGTCCTTGAGCTGGCGGATGTACTGGGCGGCGTCCGAGTGGTTGAGCTGCCCCTGGATCCTGCCCTCCTCCCTCTGCGGGTGCGCGTGGGTCAGCGGGTGCCTGTCCCCACCCTGTCACCCTGTGCCCACCCCCGACTTTGCCTCCCCCCCGTGTCCCCCCCCCCCACGCCCCCCCCCCGTCCCCTCGGCCCCCCTCACCTGGATCTCCAGCTCGGCGACGCGCTGTCGCATCTCGGCCAGGGCTGCCATGCTGTCGGCCTCGCGCAGCCGCACCGCCATCACCTCCTCCTTGCTCTGGGGACACCCGTGTCACCCGCTGCCACGCTGGGGTCACCCCCGTGGCACCCCTGACTCCCCCCCCCCCCACCAAAGGGGAGGCTTCAGCCCCCCCTCCCCGTCCCCAGGGAGGAGGGAAGGCTGGTGGAGGGGACATGGGGACACTGGGAGGGGACACGGGGACGCTGTGGGAGGGGGAACTGGGACCCCATGGGAGGGGACATGGGGACACTGTGGGAGGGGACACTGGGACCCCACGGGAGGGGACATGGGGACACTGTGGGAGGGGGAACTGGGACCCCACGGGAGGGGACATGGGGACACTGTGGGAGGGGACACACTGACCGTTTTGAGGGGACATGGGGACACCATGGGAGCAGGTGACAGGACGCTGTTGGAGGGGACATGGGGACCCCGTGGGAGGGGACATTGTGGCCCCACAGAAGGGGACACGGTGACCCCATGGGAAGGGCTGTGGGTGTCCCCAGGGAGGGGACAGGGGTGTCCCCAGGGAGGGGACGCGGGTGTCACTGGGGAGGGGACAGGCATGTCCCCAAAGAAGGGACATGTGTGTCAGTGGGGAGGGGACAGGGGTGTCCCCAGGGAGTGTCTGTGGGTGTCCCCACGGAGGGGACAGGGGTGTCCCCAGGGAGTGTCTGTGGGTGTCCCAGGGGAGGGGACAGGGGTGTCCCCAGGGAGTGTCTGTGGGTGTCCCCAGAGAAGGGACAGGGGTGTCCCCAGGGAGTGTCTGTGGGTGTCAGTGGGGAGGGGACAGGGGTGTCCCCAGGGAGTGTGTGTGGGTGTCCCCAGAGAAGGGACAGGGGTGTCCCCAGGGAGTGTGTGTGGGTGTCCCCACGGAGGGGACAGGGGTGTCCCCAGGGAGTGTGTGTGGGTGTCCCCAGAGAAGGGACAGGGGTGTCCCCAGGGAGTGTCTGTGGGTGTCCCAGGGGAGGGGACAGGGGTGTCCCCAGGGAGTGTCTGTGGGTGTCAGTGGGGAGGGGACAGGGGTGTCCCCAGGGAGTGTCTGTGGGTGTCCCAGGGGAGGGGACAGGGGTGTCCCCAGGGAGTGTGTGTGGGTGTCCCAGGGGAGGGGACAGGGGTGTCCCCAGGGAGTGTCTGTGGGTGTCCCAGGGGAGGGGACAGGGGTGTCCCCAGGGAGTGTCTGTGGGTGTCCCAGGGGAGGGGACAGGGGTGTCCCCAGGGAGTGTGTGTGGGTGTCCCAGGGGAGGGGACAGGGGTGTCCCCAGGGAGTGTCTGTGGGTGTCCCAGGGGAGGGGACAGGGGTGTCCCCAGGGAGTGTGTGTGGGTGTCCCCAGAGAAGGGACAGGGGTGTCCCCAGGGAGTGTCTGTGGGTGTCCCAGGGGAGGGGACAGGGCTGTCCCCAGGGAGTGTCTGTGGGTGTCCCCAGAGAAGGGACAGGGGTGTCCCCAGGGAGGGGGTGGGAAGGCCCCATGGATCTCCCGAGGGAGGGGACGGGGCGCACCCATGGGTGCCCCCCGGAGGCGGCAGAGGCGGACCCGGGGGTGTCCCCCCGAGCCGTCCCCGCGGGTCCCACCTTGCACTGGGCCTCGGCGTGTTTGCGGTGGCTCTCGCTGAGCTGCGCCTGCAGCCCCTTGCTCTGCGCCGCCGCCAGCCGCAGCTGCTCCCGCAGCCCCGCGCAGGTCTGCTCCGCCCGGCCCAGCACCGTGCGCTGGATCTGGCCCTTGGGGGGGGACACACACACAGGACTGTCACCACCCTGTCCCCAGTCCCTGGCACATCCCCCCCCCCCCCCGCCCCAGCTCCCGCAGCCCCGCGCAGGTCTGCCCCCGGGGGTGCAGGCACCCAGCACCCATCGAACCGGCACCCCCAGTTCAGCCCCCAGGACCCCAGCACCCCCAGGGCAGCACCCAGGACCCCAGCACCCCCCAGCTGAGCCCCCACAACCCCAGGACCCCCCAGCTGAACCCCCAGTCAGGATGTGGCCCGGGCTCTGACTTGTGTCTCCAGCTGTAGCACCCGCTGGCACAGCACCCCCAGCATCCCCAATTCAGCTCGCCCTAGCCCCAGCACCCCCAGTTCAGCCTCCATGACTCCAGCACCCCCCAGCTGAGCCCCCAGTCAGGATGTGGCCCGGGCTCTGACCTGCGTCTCCAGCTGCAGCACCTGCTGGTGCAGCACCCCCAGCATCCCCAATTCAGCTCGTCCTAGCCCCAGCACCCCCAGTTCAGCCTCCATGACTCCAGCACCCCCCAGCTGAGCCCCCAGTCAGGATGTGGCCCGGGCTCTGACCTGCGTCTCCAGCTGCAGCACCTGCTGGTGCAGCACCCCCAGCATCCCCAATTCAGCTCGTCCTAGCCCCAGCACCCCCAGTTCAGCCTCCATGACTCCAGCACCCCCCAGCTGAGCCCCCAGTCAGGATGTGGCCCGGGCTCTGACCTGCGTCTCCAGCTGCAGCACCCGCTGGCGCAGCGCCCGCAGCTCGGCCTGGGCCTGGGCCTCCCGCAGCCGCGCCGCCACCACGGCCTCTTGCAGGGCGTTGGCGTTGCTCCGCCGCGGGGACTCCTTCCAGCGCCCGCCCGCCCGGCCCGCCTGCGCCCCGCACCCATCAGGCACCCGCCAGGAGGGTGGCAGGACCCGGGCGGCCCCCGCAGGGACCCGGGTGGCAGGGCGAGGGACCCAGGAGGATGGGAGGGGACCCAGCCATCAGGACGAGGGGTCCAGGTGGCCAAGAGGGGACCCAGATGGCCAGGAGGGGACAGAGGCAACGGGATGAGGGACCTGGGTGGCCAGGAGGGGACCTAGATGATGGAACAAGGGACCTGGGTGGCCAAGAGGGGACCCAGGTGTCAGGACCAGTGACTCAGCTGGCCAGGAGGGGGCCCGGGTGGCCAAGAGGGGACCCAGATGATGGAACAAGGGACCTGGGTGGCCAGGAGGGGACCCAGGTGTCCAGGAAGGGACTCAGAACAAGGGACCCAGGTGGCCAGGAGGGGACCCGGGTGGCCAGGAGGGGACCCAGATGATGGAACAAAGGACCTGGGTGGCCAGGAGGGGACCTGGGTGGCCAGGAGGGGACCCAGATGATGGAACAAGGGACCCGGGTGGCCAGGAAGGGACCCGGGTGGCCAGGAGGGGACCCAGATGATGGAACAAAGGACCTGGGTGGCCAGGAGGGGACCTGGGTGGCCAGGAGGGGACCCAGATGATGGAACAAGGGACCTGGGTGGCCAGGAGGGGACCCGGGTGGCCAGGAGGGGACCCATCCATCTGGGAGGGACCCAGGCATCTGTGGGGGGACACTCAGGTGACCAGGGGGGGATCAAGGTGACCGGGGGGGACCTGCCAGGTGCCCGTGTCCTGACCTGCCAGCTGTCACTGAGGTCCTTGACCTGCTGCTGCAGCTCCGTCAGCGACTTGACGGCCTCAGCCTCGCGCAGCGCCAGCGCCTGCAGCTCCTCCTGCAGCCGCACCACGTTGTCCTCGTCCGGCAGCAGGCTGTTCCTCTGTGGGGACATCAGGGCCATCGGCGGGGACACCCCGGGGTGGGGGTACCCCCCGGGGCAGGGGCACCCCGGGGCGAGGGCATCGGATGTCAGCGGGGACACGCCGGGGGGGGGCAGGGACAGCCTGGGGCAGTGGTGCTGGATGTCAGGGGGGGACATCTCGGGGCAGGGACACTGGATGTCGCCAGGGACACCGTGGGGTGGTGGCACTGGTCGTTGGCAGGGATGCCCAAGGTTGGTGGCACTGGGGGCTTGTCCCTTTCTGCCAGGCAGAGGTGGGGACACTGATGGGGTACTGGGGGAGACGATGGAGGACGCAGAGGATCCCCCCCAGGGACATGTGGCACTGGGGATCCCCGGGCACCGGGGGAGCCCTTGGGGACACTTTTGTGGCACTGGGGATCCCCAGGGACAGGGGACACCAGGTCCAGGGCCCCTTGTGTGACATTCCCTGTCCCCAAGGCCACTCGTGCGACAGCCTCCATCCCCAGGGCCACTTGTCTGACCACCCCCAGGGCCACCCATACGACCATCCCCGTCCCCAAGGCCACACGTGTGACACTCCCCATCCCCGGGGCCACTCGTGGGGCCATTCCTGTCCCCAAGGCCACCGGCGTGACACCCGCGGGCTGTCCCCGTCACCTTCTCCATGTCAAGGACTTTATCCTGCATCTCCTTGAGGGCGCCGAGCGTCTCGCTCTCCCGCAGCCGCGACTGCTCCAGCTCCGTCTCCAGGTGGGTGACAAACTCCTCGCTGAAGCGTGGGTTCCCCTGCCACCGTCCCCAGCGCGTCACCCGTGGGGCACAACGCCTGCTGCACCCCTGTGTGTCCCCCCCCCCCGCCCCCCTCCTCAATCCCTTCGCCTGCGGTGGCGGCAGCCCACCCCCCCACCCCGGGCCAAAAGCTGGACGGCGGTGGGGGCGCGAATCGGAAGGGGCGACGCGTGAGGGTGAGCGAGGGGTGTCTAGGGACGTCTCTGGGGACGCCTGGGGACGTCTCTGGGGACGCCTGGGGACGCCTGGGGCCACCAACCTGCTGGTCCTGCAGCTGCCGGATGGTGCTCTGGGCACGCTGCAGGTTCTCGGTGGCCGAGCTGCAGCGTTGCTTCACCACCGCCAGCTCCCGCTTGATGATGTAGTTCTCCTCGGCCTCCTGCGCCCGTGTCACCTGGCCCTGGGGACAGCAGGGACGTGTCACCACCGTGCCACGGTGGGGGGGGGGGGGGGCCTGGTCCTCTCCCCGTCACTGGGCGGGGTAAGGTGGGGACGAGGGCGTGGTGCTGGGGACGCCGCGGCGGCGCCGGGGAGGAGGAGTGGGGCCAGTGCCACGGCGGGGGACAAGGGAGTGACACCGGGGACAAGGGGGAGACGCCGGCCGTGGAGGGTGGGGACGGGGATGAGGGGGGGGGACCCCAGCCCTGCCCCACAGCGGGATGACACCAGAGTGACGCCGGGCCCTGGGGTGGGTGACACTGGGGACAAGGGCGGGGTGACACCAGCCCCATGGCGGGGGACCCTGAAGACAAGGAGGGGTGACTCCAGCCCTACAGCAGCAGGTGACACGAAGGACAAGGAGGTGACACCAGCCCTGTGGGGACCTCCAGGGCCATTTTGTCCTCTCCGAGCCACTCTCACCCCACGGCCCATGGCCTTCCACTCGAAATCCGCGTTATTTTGGTCAAACTCATCAAAACGGTGGCTCTTACCCCATCTTGGCCAAACCCCGCCTCCCCAAGTGCCACCGTGCCACCCCCCACTTTCCACTGAGCCCCCAAATGGGCCAAACCCCCCCATTTCCACCAACCGCCGCCCCCAAATCCTCCTTCCCCCCCCCGCCACCCCCCAAAGCGGGGAAGGTGCGCGGGAGCCTCCGGAAAAGCAGGAAAAAGGGCAAATCTTCCCCAAATGAGTCAGACGCAGGTGGGCTGGGAAGCAAAAAGGGGAAGAAAAGGGTTAAAACACAGCGGAAAAGAGAAAAATAGCTATTTTTGACGCTACCTGGATGAGCCTGTCGGCGAGAGCCGCGCTCTCCTGCGGCCGCCGGCGGAGGAAAGAGAGAAGGAGAGGAGAGACGTAACGAGATGAGCGAGGGGGACGGAGGCAGTGAGAGAAGCCACGAGGCGGAGGCACCCGGCAACCTTCCCGCGCATCATCGGTTCCCGTTTTGGGGCATTTTCCAAGGATTTTAGCTTTTTTTTCCCTCCGGCGTGGCGGGAAAACACGGCGGCGGCAGCGCTCTGCGCTAAGCTGGAGCGTCTCCCGCCTCCTGGGGGGAGGCTCGGTGTGGAAAAGTGATGAGGCAGCAGCTCGCTGGGCTTAAAGTTCTGATTTTTGCACCAAAAGGGTGCTGGGGGGGGGGGGCGGGGATTTTGGGGGTGCAGCCTATAAAAGGGGTGCTGGAGGTTGCGGGGTTGAACCCACGGGTGCCGGGATCTCTGGGTGGCGGCGGGACGGGTGCCCCAGGGGAGTTTGGGGGGTCCTTCCGGGGACATTTCGGGGGCTCCAGGGCGGGGTTGGGTGCCCGCCGGGGTTTCTGGGTGTCCCCAGGGGGGGGATTTGGGGTGCCGGGTGTTGGGCTCACCTTCTCCAGGGTTTCAATCCGCTGTTTCAGCAGGCGGTTCTCAGTGCGGAGGCGCTGGAAGGCGGGGGGGGGGGAAATGGGGAGGAATTAGCCCCAGGGGTGGTTTGATGGGTCAAGTGGCCCCGAGATGGCTCAAACCACCCCGAGGATGGGACACAGTGGCCCTGGGATGGTTTATACGGCCCTGGGGACAAGCGAAGTGGCCTTGGGGACGGCTTAAAAGGCCCTGGCATGGGGCACAGTGGCCCTGGGATGGCTTAGGTGGCCCCAGGGATGGCCCAGATGGCTGCAGGGACGGGCTAAACGTCCCCACGGAGGGGTGAAAAGTGGCCCTGGGATGGCTCAAACTGCTCTGTGACAGGTCAAGTGGCCCCAGGATGGCTTAAGTGGCCCCTAAGGACACCTTAGATGGCCCCTGGGATAGGGGAAAGTTGCCCCAGGAGGGCTCAGGTGGCCCTGGGGATGGACTGAAAGGTGCTGGGGACGGGCTAAATGGTACCCAGGATGGGCTAAGTGGCCCTGGGGACAGCTTAAGTGGCTGTGGGGTGGGTCAAAGCGATCCCAGGACGGCTTAGAAGGCTCCAGGGATGGGTGAAGTTGTCCCAGGATGGCTCAAGTGACCCTAGGGACAAGTCAAGTGGCTCTAGGGAGAGGCTAAGCCACCCTGAGATGGCTCAAGTGGCCCCAGGAATGGGCTACGTGGCCCTGGGATGGCTCAATGGGACCTCAGGGATGAGTCCAAGTGGCCCTGGGATGGTTCAAACGACTCTGGGAATGGGGCAAGTGACACTGGGATGGGTCAGAGTGGCTCCAGGATGGCTTAGATGGCCCCGGGGACGGGCTACGCCACGCCAGGAGGGCTCAGCTGGCCCCAGGGATGGGCCCAGTGGCCATGAGGATGGCTCAGGAGGCCTCAGGATGTCAACACTTGGCCGGTCTCACCTTGATCTCGATCTGCTCCTCCATCTCTTTGTTCTTGATGGCAGCATACTCCTTCTCCAGCCTGCTCGGGACACGGGGACAGGCTGGGACACGAGGACGGGGGCCAGGCCCCCCGGCCCCGCGCCCCACAGTCGCTGGGGGGACCCCACCGAAGCGCAAGAACTCGTCTCCCCATCTCACCTCTTCATCTTCTTGGGGTTGTACTTGACCTGGAAGGCCCTGAGGATGAGCTTGTCGGGGCAACTGTCGAACTGGTGTGGGATCACCTTCTGGAAGTACTGCGGGTGCGGAAAGCGGCCGTGAAACGTGGCCCCAAAATACAGGCCATCGCGTAAACCAGCCCCAAAGTAGGGCCCGTTGGGTAAAACCGGTCCCAAAAGAGGGTCTGTGGGATAAATCTGCCCCAAAACACACGCTCGTTGCATAAATCCACCCCAAAATACAACTCGCTGCAGAAACGGCCCCAAAATACGGCCCGTCATGGAAACCCAAACTAGAGCCTGTTGCATACATCCACCACAAAGGATGGCTTGTGGCGTAAACTGGTCCACGAACGCATCCAGTTGGGAGAAACCTGCCTGAAAACACTGAATTTGGAGCTCAGTCTGCTCCAAACTATGACCCTTGGCCAAACGTGTCCAAAAACCCATCCCCTGGGATTAGTCCTGTCGGACCAATCCACCTCCAAACACATCCTGCGGCCTAAGCCCAGCCCAAAACATGTCCCATTGGGCAAATCCACCCAAACCCACATCCTGCGGGCTAAATCCATCCCCAGAGCCACCGGCACGTACCTGGGACATGCCCTCCATGTCGAGCTGGACGAGCTCAGCCTGGTTGAACTGCAGCAGTGCCATCCCCACGCGGAAGACGATCTCCAACCCCTGCGGGAAAGGTCCGCGCTTGACCCCCCCCCCCGCCATCACCTTTCACACTCGGGGTTTGGGGCTTTTTCTCCCCTCAAACCGGATCAGCTGGTGCGGGGAGAACGTTTCCACATCCAAGTGGAAAAGGTGGCTGTGGTCCCTTTGTGGTTTATGGCGCTGGCCGCGGCCCCGTTACCTCGTACATGAAGATGTCGAAGACGCGCGTGGCCACGGGGAGGGGGAAGGTGGTGAGGAAGAGGGTGAGGAACCAGGACGAGGCGTACATGGAGGTGAGGAAGCTCTGCGAGCGGAAGTGGATGTTCAGCTCCGGCAGCTGCTCCTGGATGTGAGAAATGGGAGAAATGAAGAGAAACGGGGAACGGTGGGTGGTTCCCGGGGTCACTCATGGCTGCTGAGGGTCGAACGGGTCCGTGAGGTCTTGTGGAGGGGTCTCGTGGAAGGTCCTCTGGGGGAGGGTTTGTGGATGGTCCCCAGGGCCTCACGGATGTCCCTCAGGGCATCTCATGGACGGTCCCTGGAGTGTCTCATGGATGGCTCCTTTGGGTGTCTCACAGATGGTCCCTGGGGTCTCCTGGATGCTCCCAGGGTGTCTCGTGGACGTCCTCTGGGTCTCACTGATGTCCCCCTTGAGGAATCATGAACGGTCCTCAGAGCGCCTCGCAGATGTCCCCAGGATCTCCGCGTTGCTGGCCACAAGCTCACTGGAGGGACCCATTTCTCCCAAGAGCTGCCACCTCGCTCCGACCTCTCCCTGTCCTTGTCCCCCCCCCGCTCCACCCACCGATTCCCACCGCCTCGAGCATTTTGGGGGGTGTGGGGCGGCGCCTACCTGCAGCATGTACTCAAACTGGTAGATGCAGAGCCCCAGCTCAGCCATGCTGGGTTTGAAGAGCTCCCGCAGGCGGTACTCCTGCATCAGCCTCACGAACACGCAGAAGGCCTCTTCCTCGGGCATCTGGAGACCCAAAGGGACGTGAATTCCCCCTCAAAACTCGGCTGGCAGCTCCGGATGCGGAGCCTCTGCCGCCGGGTGGTGGGATGGGACATGCCAGGAACCATCCCTGGGCGAAGGGGAATGCGACGGGGGGGATTTTAAACCCCTCAGGAGTAAGTGGGATAGTGGGAACGAGCCCGTTCTGTTCCTGAGGATCAAGGAAAAGGCTCCCATTTCCCATCCCTGGTTCTACCACGTCTCCAGAGGGTGTTAAAAATCCATCGGCAGCTCCTCCTCACCCCCGAGCCAGCACAAACCTGCATGAGCAGAAGTCCCACGATGAAGGCGCTACCCTGGCAGTAGCCGACCTCTCGGTCCACCAGTGAATAGGCCTGGAAGAAGGAAAAAAAATTCAAAATAAATATATGTGTGAGCAGGGGGAGTGGCTGGGCCACCAGCCCTGCTTGCTGTGGGAGGCCAACAGTGGAGGGAAGGCTTGACCGTGTCACCAAAAATAGCTTTTTTTTTTGTTTGACAACACCTCCTGTGAGCACGATGTTGCTCCACATTCGGATTTAGACCCCCCCCAAATACCCAACCATTTGTTTCTTAATTCAGAGTAGAACTCGACGGGGAAAAACGAGGTCTGGGATGGGTGGGGAATGAGATCCCTTTGCTGCAAGAAGTGACGGTTCCAGGAGTTTGTGGTGGAAACCAAACCCATCAAAAATTAATATCCAGTTACAACAGCTTCAAACCCCAAAGCGACGTCCAGGCTGGGGCCAAGATCCGCTGATGTTCGAGGAAAGACGTTACCTTCATGACGTTGAAGAGCACCTCCTGGCCCAGGCTGTCCTGCCCCTTGAAGAACTCGTGCTCCGGGTAGGTGCGGGCGATGTCCCGTCGGATGAGCTTCTCGCAGGGAGAGGACATCTTGAGCAGCTCCGAGTATTGGTTTTTGACGGGCATGTCGGTGGCACTGCAGAGCAGCTGCCAGACGATGGCGCGGAAGTGGTGGGGGATCCCTTTGCGGATGAGCTCCTGGGGAAAAACGGGGCAAAAAAAAAAACTTAAGAACTGGGTTTCAGGAAGATGGGGGAGCTCCTCGTGGGTGGGGAGACGTCGCCCTGCTCTACCATGGGGAAGGTCCTGCTGCAGGCTTTTGCATTAGGTTTAAAATAAAGCCGTTTCCTCACCTTCAGCAGCTTCTCCTTCTTCTTCCGCCACTCGTCCCACTCGTTGACGATGCGGCCCCAGAGGATCCAGGTGTCCTCCTCGAGGTGGCTGAGGTTGGAGGAGGCCGAGGAGCTGGAGACCAAGGAGGAGCCGCTGTTCCTTCGCGAGCCATTCATGGAGCGCATCGACTTGGAGTCGGCCTCCAGTAGCCTGCGGGAGACCGAGATAGCCCCAAAAAAGACCTACAGGAGGGGAGAGTCCCCCAAACTGCCCGCAAAAGGAGATATTCCCCCAGAATAGCCCCCAAGGAGAAGAGATTCCCCCAAAACCATCCCCCAAAAGGAGATATTCCCCCAAAACGTCCTCCAAGGAGAAGAGATTCCCCCAAAACCATCCCAAAAAGGAGATATTCCCCCAAAACAGCCCCCGAGGAGAAGAGATTCCCCCAAAACCATCCCAAAAAGGAGATATTCCCCCAAAACAGCCCCCAAGGAGAAGAGATTCCCCACAGACTGTCCCAAAAAGGAGATATTCCCCCAGAACAGCCCCTCAAGGAGAAGAGATTCCCCCAAAACGGTCCCAAAGAAGGAGACGCTCCCCTCAAACAGCCCCCAAGGAGGAGAGATTCCCCCAAAACTGTGCTAAAAGAGGAGAGGTTCCCCCAAACAGCAGATATTCCCCCCAAATGCCCCAAAGAAGGAGGTGTTCCCCCCCAACTGCCCCAAAAGAAGTATTCCCTCAAACAGCCACAAAGGAGAAGAGCGTCTCCCACACACGTCTGAAAAAACGAGATGTTCCCCCTCAAAAAAACCCAAAGGAGGAGAGGTTCCCCCCAAACAATCAGCTATGCCCCCCAGACTACCCCAAAGGAGCAGATGTTCACCCAAAATGTCCCAAATGAGGAGAGATTCCTCCCAAATCACCCCCCCAAAAGGAGGTGTTCCCCCAAACCAGCACCCGGAGGGGCTATTTGCCCCGGCCAGATGCCAACAGCTGCCCGGGAACGGTTTCTTGAATGAATTTGCTTAAACCCCAGATTTTCAGTGGTGGATTTTTTTTTTTTCCAATAGTAAATTTGCTTAGAAATGGCTTTGCGAGGAAATTTGCATTTCAGGGCTTGATTCTGACACCGGTTTAATGCCACGGATGGAGCGTTTTGCCCGGTGTTTCGGCAAAACGAGCCTCCGGGCTGGCTCCCCAGCAAGAGCGAGTTTAAAACCCGCCACCGGGTTTGTTATTTATTGTTTCCAAACAGCCGCCTCCTTCCAAAAAATCCCCTCGGAGTGCCTGAACCAGCAAACCCTACTGCTTTCAAAGAGGAAAATGCAACCTCGAAAATAATGAACCGGCGTGTTTTCACCCCGGCTGCAGCGCTGCTTGGGGGGGGGGGGGGGGGGGAGCAGCTCGCTGCTGTCCAGCGCCTTTGCTTTTGAGGGAAATAGTTGATTAAAAAAAAAAAAAAAAAAAAAAGGAGAATAAAAAGGCCGAGCGGGGCAAGTGCCCCGCTGGCACTCACCGGTTCTGCTCCTCCAGCTTCGCCAGCAGCTCCAGCTCGTCGGGGCTGAGGTTCTCCGAGTCGGAGGTGGGCGAACAGGCGGGGGCCGAGTTGACGGAGGAGAGGGCTTCGTGCGAGGACGAGTCGGGGCTGGCGGCCGGCGACGCCATGGCGGCCGAGCCCGCGGGGATTTCGGGGTCTCACCTGGAAAACCGAGCGGCAGCGTGAGCGGGATGAGTGTCCCCCCCCCTTCTCCTCCTCCCCGCCACATCGCTTCAAAGCTCTTCAACCCCCCCCCCCCGGCCCCGTTTTAGCTCATCTGATAGAAAACAGGACCGAGCGCCGCTCGGTTTGCAGCCCACTGAGATATTCGCCTAACTCCCAGAAAAACCCCGCTTCACCCCAGTCTGCACGGCGAGGCAGCTCCGAGCGCGTTGTCCCACGTTCGCCCTAAGTCAGCTGAATTAAATCAGCCAAAAAACTGGAATAAAGCCCTCATCTTGGGAAGGGATGGGCCAATGTGGGAAGAGAGGATTTACCGAAAGCTGTCCTCGCTGCGGATTTGCTTCAGGGGTTGAGAGCGCCCGGTTTGCCCGTTTTGGTGCTGGTTTATGGAAAAAAAAGCCTCGCTGGGGAGGAACTGCTTTGGGACTGCAGGGACAGGATGAAATGGGGTAGAAAATGGCCGGGTGGAGGAGTGCTGCAAAAAAGAGGAGTTCAAAGCAGCGCATCCGGATGGAATTTACTGGAGGATGAGCAGGGACTGGGATCCCTCAAGGAAGCTCTGGCCTCTTTTGGGCTGAAAATCTCTCCTTTCGGTGAAAATATGTTGCTGGAGACTGGCAAAATGAGCCCTCAGTCACCGCGTGGTCAAAAGGGGTGAAGAAAGCGGAGGAAATAAATACAAAGCAGCAACGCCCGAATGTGTGATTTACCTGATTTGGGTTTATTTTGCTCTCCGTGCAGATTAAGTTATCAGTCAGGGGGGGTTTAACCAAAAAGCCATGTTTCTGACCCCTTTTTTGGGGGGAAAAAACTGGCTGGTGGAGCAAAACGAGCTTGGAGAAGAGCAGAGCAACGAAGGGGTGCTGGGCAAGCACAGCCGTACTGCAAACGGGGAAAAACCCTCGTTGTTTGGTTAACGGTCTTCCAAAACCAGCAAAATTTAACCGAGCGGCTTCGGGAAGAATCGGGTCGAGCGCTCGCGGGGTCCCGCGGATTTGCCTAGTAAGCAGGAAATTTTATAAAGTGGGGGGAAAAAAAAAAAAAGCCCCGGTTATACCTTGATGATATTTAATGTAGCCCCATGGTGCTCGTTGTGGGATGGGGCTCGTCCAGCAGCGCTTTCGTCTCCAGGAGATCCATTAATTTATTTTCTATCACTAATATTTCCCTGCAAGACCTTGCTGGCTGGTATCACCCCAAATAGTGTTTTAACAAAAAAAAAGTAGTGAGCGCCATCGGCAGCTTCGCTGCAAAATTATAAGTTACTGATCAAACAGCGGCCGCGGCACAACCTGCCATGGTTCAAGGGCCTGCAAGAATGTCCTGAAATGGCTTTTTAGGAAAAATGCTTATTTCAGTGTCGACACTGGGGGGGAAATAAAAGCAACAACCATGCGTGGATGAGCGTAGGATAGCTGGAACGCATTATTTCAACCCAAAATTGAAGTAGGCAAATGGTAATATTATTAGACCTAGGGGAAAAAAAAAAAACAAAACAAAACAAAAACAGATGGAAATGGGAAAAGAGGAGAAAAGGCAAGTGGAAATTTTTAAGTGTTTTTTTTTTTGGTGAAATCCCATTGGTTTTCCAGCATGGCGGGAAGGAGCTGGTGGCTGCTGTTCTCCAGGGGTTCCCATCATGCCAAGAACTTGTTCCAGGGTGATGGGTATCTAAATTTGCTGAAAATGCTTGAATTTGGAGGGGAAAAAATTGTCCAAGGGGCTGTCAAAGGCACTAAGAAAACTGGGGGGAAAAATGATGGAAACAGCCCCGGAAACACCACCATGGTGCCCAGGGTCTGTTTTTAGGAAACTGGCCCAAAAAGAGGATCAGCTGACGCTGCTTTCAGCCCGTTTGTGATGGCGGGTTAATAAAAAAAATGACTTTCTGGGTGTGACAGGGCGTTGCGGAGTCCCTGAGGTCCCCACGTGTCCCCGAAGTCCCCACACGTCACCATCACATCCGCTCATTTTCCCCCAAAACACCACCGCTCAATCAAACCGCTGTAAAAAAAGCCCCTTTTGAGCAGGATGCCAAGATGCCGACCCCGAGCCAGAGCGTTTTGGGAGGAAAATGTTAAAATTTCCCCCCCCTTGCGCTTAAAATCTGCCGATTTGTAGCTCTTTTGACCCATTTTTGCAGCTTTTCCGTGGAGCTTCATACCATTTCTGTGGGGTTTTGTGCCTTTTCTGCCCCTTTTTATGCCTTTTCTGCGCCGTTTTATGCCTTTTCCACCTTTTTGCAGAGTCTCTCAGTACCGTTTGGCACTTTTTCCACCCTGTTTTCACAGTATTTTCCACGCTGTTTTCTCAGCGTCTCTCGGTGCCGCTTTGCGCCTTTTTTGCACCATTTTTTGCCGCGTCTCTGAGCTGGTTTTGTCGTTTTTTCCTGTGCTGCTTTCACCCCCTCTTAAAACTTCATCAAAGCAGGGATTCACCCCCAGTTTCAGCAGCAAATTTTGGAGGCACCGGGCAGCGACGCTGACTTTCCACTGAACACAAACCTTCAAAAATCCACCAATTTACCAGAAACACCCATTATTAACATGCAAAAGGAGCCCAATAAGGAAAAAAAAAAAATGATTAAACCACAAATATCTCAGCGGGATGTTCTTCACCAACATCCATGGTTTGCAGAAAGAGGAAGAAAATGGATAAAAATGGGCTTAAACACCGCAGGTTTTGCCGCCGGTGGGGGTGAAACAGGTGCAAATTTTAAGCTAAAATCCCCTTAAAATACCATTGGGTTTAAAACCGACCAAATCCCACCCAAAACCAGGTGAAAACTGAATTTGGCACCAAAACGGAGCGAGACCACCACCCCCCTCCCCCAGCGCCGGCCACCAAATTGCATTTTCAGATGTGGCTTTTTGGGGAAAACCTACCCAAAATGCCACTCGGGTGATGATTTTTGTGTTTCTTGCAGTCCTAAATTGATTGAAATGAGCCCAAATCTGGGGGTTTTGGTGCCTTTAGGGTTTTTTCACCAAAATAGGGTGTTTTTTTCTTTTTTCCCCTCATCCAGGCTGCTGGTGGCAGCAGGTATTAAACGCCGCCGGCAACGCCGTTGGTGAAGCCCCGATTGATGGAAAAGCAGCAGAAAAAAGGGGAAAAAAATCAACAAGGGGAGGGGGAATTTGGGGGAAAAAACCTGTCATTTGATGGGAAACCTGAGTCGTCCCGGCTTAGCTAAAATCCCTGGGTTTGAACCCAAAAGGAGAGGCGCGCCGGGGACAGCACAAAGCCGCGGCCCCGGGGGCTGCGGCCGCGGTTGCTCCATCTTCTGGGCGGCTGCGGGGGGGGGTGTGTGTGTGTGGGGGGTGTTTTGTTTTAGGGGGGCACCCAGGGCCCCCCCCCCCCCCCACCCCCCCCCCCCCCGGATGGGGGGGGCACAGGGATGCAGGCGGAGGGGGTGGGTGTGCACTGGCTGGGTGTGGGGGGGTGATAAAAGCCTCCCCCCCCCCCCAATAAATGACATTTGGGGGGACCGCAGCTGTGATGGGGGGGCCCAGCTGGCTGCTGCAGACAGCCCCCTCCCCCCCTCTTTTTTTTTTTTTTTTTTTAACCAAAACCTCATTATTTTAAAGGAAAAATAAGCGAGGGACAACACCCTCTTTGCACACAGGAGCGCAGCCCCCCGCAGGCTGCAATGGGGGGGGGGGGGCAAGAAAGGAAGGGAATAAGGGGAGACCCCCCCCCAATATCCCCCTCTAGAGTGGGGGGGGGCACCCCTAATGCCTCTCTACGGTGTGTGAGTGGGGGGCATCCCAATGCCCCCCCCACCCCGTATAGCCCTGAAATCACCCCCCACAGCACAGAGGGGGAACCCCCGTTGTTTTCGGGAGGGGGGGGTTTAAAACCCCCAATTACCCCCCAAAAGTGGGGGGGGAACCCCATTTACCCCCTTAGCTTGGGGAGGAAACCCCCAGTTACCCTGCAGTCCTGGGGGGGGGGGGGTGTTACCCCCAGTTGCCCCCATAGCCAAGGGGAAGATTATCCCAGTGCCCCCCCTGTATGGGGGGGTCCCCTCAGAAACATGGGGGGTACCCCTAATCTCCCCCAGCTGGGAGGGGGGGCAACCCCAATTACTACCCCTGTAGACTGGGGGGGGGGGGGGCTTATTTACCCCAAATTGCCCCCTCCCCCCGACATTACCCCCACAGACACCCCCTCCTCACAGCCTGCGGGGGCGCTGTACCCCCAACATCCCCCCTCAAGGAGGTGTGGGGGGGGGGGGAGTCACCCCCAAATACCCCCGCACCCCGGGGAGGGGGCTTACCCCCAAATTACCCCCTTAGCCTTAGGGGGGGGGCGAATTCCGCCGATCCCCCTCCCCCCACACTCACGGGGGGGGTGCACCCCCCATTCCTGAGGGAGGGACCCCCCCCCAGGGGGCGGGGCGCCCCTCCCGGCCCCTCCTACCTGCGAGGCGCTGCCATGGCGATCGCCGGCTGCCTCCGAGGGGGGGGCCCGCGGCGTCCCCCCGCCGCCACCGCCGCTTGGAGCCGAGCGGGAGCCGCGGCCGCCGCGGGCCCCGCCGCTGCCATGGAGGGGGGGGGACCCGCCGCCGCCGCCGCCGCCGCCGCCGCCGCCGCCCTGACAGACACTGACTGACAGGCGGCCCCGCCCCGCGGCCAATCAACGCGCCGTTCCAACGCCTCCGCCCGCCCCTCCGCGGCACCGCCGCCAATCGCCGCGGCCCTTCCCGGGGACGGAGCCGCCGCGGGGGACCCGGCTCCAAACCGTGCCTGCTTCGCGGTGAGCCAATGGGTTGGCTCGCCGGTGGTTGATGGGCAAGCCTATCTTCCAATGAGATTCAAGGAAATGCTTTTTCCCTCCCTCCCCCCGCGGGGGGGTGAGCACCGCCTTGCTGAGAGGCGAATGGCAGGCACAGGTGGGGATGATGGATAGGTAGAGAGGCCAATCGGCTGCCAGATCCCGCTTGGAGTGGCACCTGGCTGACAGGAGAGGACAACAAGCCCCGCCTCCTATGTGGGAGGGTTTGGATTTGATTGACAGGAGACTCTACCAATCGCTGGCGCAGGAGAATGTGAGTCAGCCTATGGAGCCGCGGAGACTGGGCGGCCTTCACCCCTCCAGCACAGGCGGCTGATCCCGCCTTCCTGAGGAGATTTGCGGCTCTCGTTGGCTGACGGCCGACGGGGAGATGATAGGCAGACGCCTCCACCTATGGGGCGTCGAGCAGCTGCTGATCGCCGCTCGGTGTTGAGGGGAGCCGCGAGGAGTCACCCTCCGTTACCTCGGGGAGGGCGCCCGGCTTGGGGGACGCGGAGTGGGGGTCCCCAGTTCCCCCGGGACAAGGGTGTCGGGGTCCTTGGTTATCCAAAGATGGGGGAAGTGGGGTGGTGGGGAGGGTCCCGTGCTCCCCCAGGACCTGGGTATGGGGGTCCCCAGTCCCCCAGGGATGGGAACGCGGGGGGCTCTTGGGATCCACGGGAATTGGGATAATAGGGACCCCAGCTCCCCAGAAAAGGGGGTGACAGGGGTTCCGCATTTCTCAGGGATTCCGGTCTCGGGGCACTGGGGGTCCCCAGCGATCCCAGGGGTGCAGGGACACCGGGCTCCCCAGTTTGGGGGGCACTGGGGAGCTTCCCAAGGAAAAGGGTGACGGAGTCTGGGGTGTCCCCGGAGACACCAAGGGTCCCCGCTGTCCCCAGGGGCTGGGGGGGACACGGGGGGTCCCCCAGGGCCTGGGGGTGCTGAGGGGCCATCGGGGGTGCTTTGAGCTAACAGCTGAGGAGTGGAATTTTTAAGGACCTTAAGGTGATTTTTCAACCACACCAGCTTCAGTATTTAAAAATATTAAGATCCCTAAAAAAGGCTAAAGAGGTATGGATGGGGGAGGTTTAGGGGTGGGAGCTGGTGGTTTTGGTCCTTTTATGACCTTTATCTCAGTTTTCAATTCTTTTAGCTTAAAAAACCCACTATCCCTGATCTTTTTTTTTTTTTTTTTTTTTTTTTAAACCTCTCCCATGCTACCAGGACAAACCGCGTGCTGGCAGCAGAGGGGAGGATTCACAGCATTTCAACTCAAAACTGAGCCCTTTGTATCTTGGAAAGTGCCAGAGCCCCAAGGGCACGGGCAGCCACCCCGGGGGGAGAAGTTTGGCCTCCACTTCCCCTAAATTTGGGATGGAAAAAAGGGGAAATTGGACGAAAGGAGGAAGCTGCTTGCCCTGAGGGCAAGGGAACCGGAGTGAGGGACGGTCAACTTTTGGTTCTGTTTGCTCTTCCCAGGGGGTGTCAGTGAAATTCAGCTGAAATCGGTCAATACTGACGCGACTCCTGAGTTCTAAGTTTCTTTTTCTGGGAAAGTCGGCCCAGGGGACACTTGGCTCGGAGCGCTGAGGGGGTTCAGGCAATGAAAAGAGTTTTCCTGAAGAAGGAATGAAGGGAATAGTGCCCCCCAAAATGAGGATTTTCATAGTGCTGAGTTTCTTGCCTTAAAACCGTAAGAAGTTATCACCAAAATGCTGAACAAAATGCTGAAGAATTCCCTCCAGACAACGACGGCAAAAAGTTAAATTTAGGTGCTCACCTTGGAGAACACCAGTCGCTGTTTTGGCATGAAGCCTCCAAAACCAGCCTCCCGGGGCAGGTGTCAGCCTTGCTTGAGGAGAGCAGAGTGTGGTTTTTAATCAGTTCTTCTAAAAATCGCCAGGGGAGAGGCTGTGACACATGGTGAGGAGATGCCCAATTTCACTGGCTGCTCCAAAGCTCCTGAGTGCAGAGATATTTTTTTTTTTCTAGGAAGTTAGAATTAGGAAGTGTGTTTCTTTTCCCAGCAGAAGGTGACATGTAATCCCCACTGTGTAAATCAGGGCAATATCAAAAGTGAAAGGGTCAGAAATACCGCAAGGGGAAGGTACTGCCAGGACCTTCTAGAAATGTGGTTTTGCTGGAGAGGTGGAGTTGCAGAAGCAAGAGCAGAAGAAAGCACCTAAGGGAGGTATTGGGGTGAGGGAGCTGCTCTGGGGATCCAGAGGCACGAAACTGGAGGGTTTCAGCTCTTTAAACCAGTCTTTTTCCAGATCCACGGCCAAATTTTGATGCCTCGTTCCTCTGTTGGGTGATGATCTGGGAAGAAGAGATTTGACCGCGGAGAGCAGGGTGGTGGAGCCACCCCAGGGGTTGTTTTGGGGGGACCTCTCCTCTTTGTGCTCTTCTCCAAGAAAATATCTGCTGGGGTGGGAGCTCTTTGGGGCCGCCTCACCCCATTTCCCCCCGTGCTGCCCATCCTAGCCTTGTCTCCGGAGGAAGCCATCCGGGTTCCGGACGTTCTTCTGGCCCTCGCCTTGGCGATCTTCACGGCTCTCACCATCGTGGATCTCCAGAGAGGTAAATCCCACCTTGCTCCCATCTCCAGGCGCGGGGCGGGCACGATCTGGGGGGGGGGAAAACCCCAGCGAATGGAGCTAAAAATGGCTCTGAGTGAGGATGGAGGCACCTCCGGGCCCGGGTCCGGAGCGAGGGCGAGCGCTGTCTTCTTCGCCGCCGGTATCCGCGGCGTGGGAGGCGTTGGAACAAGCCCGGATGCGGAGTGGGAACGGCCGCGGCATGGCACAGCGCGACCTCGCCGAGGTCCAGAGCACCCTCGGCACCACATCTCGCCCCAAAATTGCTCCCTGCACCCTCGGTTCCTGCAGGGATCTCCCCCCCCGGCGCTTCCTGGGGGTGCCTTTTCCAGCAAAAAAAAAAAAAAACGAACCCAAGCTGCTTTCCGTTGGAACAGAGACGGTCAGGACTTGGTTTGAGTTTCCTCCTATTTTCCTCTTAGATAAACAGCTTTCTGGAGAGATGGAGGCGATTCACAGGCGACTTCTGAATGGCACGGCAAGGAAAAGGTGGTTTGGGGGGAATTTGGGCAGAATCCTGAGTACTGGGTGCAGGCAGCGGTGAGACAGGGTCGAAAGCGGCGTTTTCCCTCCTTTCAGCGTCACCAGAAGTGAAGAACGGGAGGTGGGAGCTGACACAGCACAGAGAGGAGTGCGGGAGGGAGCTGTCGGATCGCCTCGGCGCCCTGGGCGAGAGCCTGACTTTGATGGGAAATCGTTAAATTCAGTCCTTCTCCTCGGTCCCAAAACACACTGCTTTGGGTAGATGCTCCAAAGATTCCTGAAATGAGCACTGGGGGTGCACGAAGCCAACCTTAATGAGTTTGAGATTTCCTAAAGTATGGTGTTAAAGGGAAAAAGCCTTTCTCAGCCCGTTGATAAGCACAATGAAAAAGCTCATTTAATGCAAGTGCTTTGAGGTTTTACTGCCTGGATTCTAGCAAACGGTAACTCCCACCAGCAAAGCGCGCGGCGAAAGCCACGGTGTAAATCGGAGCAGAAAGGAAGAGGGAAAGGGAGACAAAAGGGGGGGGGGGATTTTTTTAGGTCTCTGCAGCAGCTGAATTGCCCTTGGTTCTCCTCCCGGCAGAGGACAGGGAGGCGCTGGCCCCAGCGCGGCGGCAGCTGGAGGAGGTGAAGCAGGCGCAGAGCCGCGGCGGGGGCAGCGGCCGGGCTGAGCTCGCCACGCATTTTCCTTTTTATTTCTCACCGTTTGCCCTCAGAAATCCTCTGCACGAGCTGTCCCGCCGGCTGGGAGCGCCTCGCCAGAACCTGTCATTTCTTCTTCCCCCCCCTCCCAGACCCTGGCCGGCTGCTAAAGGTTCCTGCGCCAGCTTCAACGCCCACCTGGCCAGCAGCAGCAGCGAGCAGGAAAACGTAAGAAGTCCTGTAAAAAACAGCAACAAAAAAGCAGATTTCACGAGTTGGGAGGAATATCAGACTCCAGTGCCACACATGGGAAGCTGGAGGTTAAGCACAGGCGGCTCGAGGCTGCGTGCAGAGGGGGAAAATGCAGCCGGTTGGGGTTTCCACTTGGTGCCGAAGTGGTTTGGCCAAATTGCATGAATCTGTCCCCAAAATGGCTGATGGGATTGGAGGGATTTGGGGGAAAAGGCGGCAGGGGGGAGCAGCTGTCCCAGCAGGGTCTGTGTGACCCCACGGGGCTCCGTACGAGAGGCCTTCACCTGAGTTTGGGGTGGATGCACCCTCCTCACGATCGTTTAGGAATGATAGAAGGTATTTAGAGATTGCAGAAATTCTTTAGAAATTACAGAAGCTTTGTTAGAAATTACACAAATTATATAATGAATTACAGAAATTTAACCCAAACTGTGCGCAAATGAGCACTTCTACCCCATTTTAGAGGATCCCTGCCTCCCGTTCAGGGGGGTGCTTTCGCCGGCCCAGCTTTTAAAAAGCATGTTACGCCTGAAAAAAAAAAAAGCTTCTTCCTCCAGCTATCAGACACTCCAGCACTCCCGAAGGGAAACGTTGCGTTTTATGTCACACTCGTGACATGTCACAGTTGTCCTCTGCGGGGGGGAGGCTTCCCGCTGTCACCGACTGCTGGCGCCGGCCTCAGCGCCGCTGAATCTTTTCCCTCCTGATGCTTCTCATGGTTTGGTTTGGTTTGGTTTGGTTTGGTTTGGTTTGGTTTGGTTTGGTTTGGTTTGGTTTGGTTTGGTTTGGTTTGGTTTGGTTTGGTTTGGTTTGGTTTGGTTTTTTCCCCCCTCATCGTTTGCAGAAATCTCTCACGTCACGGAGAACCGGGTGTCCCGGCTGGGCCTGGCTGACCCGTACGACGGCGGCGACCGGCAGTGGGGGGACGGCCGCTCCCTCTCTCGCTCTCGTACAGTTTTTAGCCTCATCAGGTGGAAAATTGCCCCCTCAAAAAATCAGCTCTGTTCGTCCTCGGCCCCTTTTTGCTCAAAAAAAGGCACCACACCCTCATTAGTGCACCCATCCGCTCTGGGTTAGTGCTTAAAAAGCTCAGAAATAAATTCCGTGCTGTTGCAGCTCCTGAAAACGCCGGGTGGGGGGAAAGGTGAGAGGAGCCGCCCTGTTGCAGGTAAGATTTTGGCTTTTTCCCCCCCAAATTTACTCTGGTTTTGGGGCTGAAAACCCAGGTGGGGATGCACGAGGAGCCGCGGCACCTTCGTGGTTCCCCCCCAGCTCCCAGCCAAGACCCCACACCCTGAGTCAAAGGGGTTATTTCTCACGGATCTCCTCGGCCTTGGGATTTGGGGAAAAAACACCGCGATCAAAGTGGAGCCGTTTTCCTGCATTAAATGGGGGAAAAAAAAAAAAAAAATCACTAAAATTGCATTGTGGCGTTAAACAGGGGGAGGAGGTTTGGGGGGGGGGGGGCTGTTTCTCTCCCTGGGAGATGCTGCGGGGTGGGTGTGCTCTCTGCCTTGACTTAAAAAAAAAAAAAAAAAAAAAGAAAAACCAAACCCAAGAAGTTCCTAAACGGCGAGCTTTTCACCCAAATCGGTGTGCCCCCAGGTTCTGGAAGAGGGGTGGACCCAAGAACACGGGCCAACGCGGCGAGGACTGCGGAGCGGCGGGACGTCCTCCGGCCCCGAGACCCGGATCTGTGAGCGCAGCTGCTCGGGGTTCACCGCGGCGGGGTGCCCCCCCCGCCCCCCAAAACCAGCGAAACTCCAGCAAAACCAAACGCAGGGTGAAAACGTGGGGCTCCGGGGGGAAAGGGGTGCCTGAAAACAAGGTCTCGAAAGCGGGGTGTGCCACCTGAGGTGGGCACGGCGCGCGGGCGGAGGGGTTAAACAGCTGGAGGGGGTCACGGGGGAGTCTGTGAAGGGTTTTGGGGGTGTCTGTTAACGTTTTGCGAGCCGTCCACCTCTCGCGCTGAGGCTTGATGTATCGCTTGGTGGTTGATGGGGGAAAAAAGAAACGAAGAGCTTTAATTGCCGTTTGACCCAAAACTGCCATCAATCAAGGCGACGCGGCGCCGAGGAGGGTCAAGGGTGGAGGGAAAGGTAAGAGGAGCCACCCTGCTGCAGGCAAGATTGTGGCTTTTTCCTCCCAAATTTATTCTGGTTTGGGGGCTGAAAACCCAGGTGGGGATCAGGGAAATCAGGGAAAAAAAATAAATAGCGAGCTTCGCTTGCGATTTGAACCAAAACTGCCATAAACCGGGGCGACGCGGCGCCGAGGGGGGTTGGCGCGCACCTTTTTTTCCCAGGGTTTAGGTAAAAAAAGAAACCCCGAAAAGGGAAGAGAGACTGGCGAAGATGAGGTGTGAGCGTGTTTGCAGGGCGCGTATGCAAATCCCGGCCTGGGGGTGCTGGGGCACGGCGCCTGCTCCGCCGGTAACCGTGCCGCCGGCTTCCCCTCGCGGCGCGGGCAGCGGCTTCGCCGAAAGAGTCGGGATTTCACCGGCGCCGTGTTTCGCACCCGTAGGTGCCACCGTGGCGGTTTTATCTATAATCCCTGAAAAAAAAAAAAAAAACCCAACAAAAAAACCCCCTCCCAAACCCGCGTGGGAGCTGCCTGCGGATCCCCGCTGGTGGCAGAGCCCCGGCGGCATCACCGATTCTCCCCGCCCCCCGCCCACCAAACCCAGCGCCCCCCAAATTCACCGAATCCCACGATCCACCCCATTTATTTTGTTTAAAATTTTTTGTTGTTTATTTTCGCCGCGGGGCAGAGCGCAGCCTCGCCCTCCTCTCGCCGCCCATTTGCATGCCACCGCCGCTCCGGCGCGGAGAAGGAACCGAAACCCCCGGGGCCGAACCGCCGGCCAGCGCGGGGGGCCCGGGGGCGGCGAGGGGAGTGCCGGGGCGCGTGCCGAGGGGCTCAGCTCCCCGCCGAGCGCCCGCGCGGCCCCCCGCCCCGGCGAGGCATGGCCCAGCAGGAGACTTACGGCAACTGGCTGGGTCCCCCGCCGGCCCCCGCCAAGCGCCTGGTGAGACAAGCAGGTAAAAAACCCCCCCGTCCCCCCGTCCCCCCGCATCCTCGGCGCGGTTTTGGGGGCCGGTGGGTGTCTCGGCGGAGCCCGGCGGTGCCCCGGGAGCGCCGGCGGGGCAGCGCCGCTGTACTCGCAGGGTGGCACATCCGCGGGCTGCCCGGAGCGCCGGGGGGTCCCGTTCCGTGCTCAAGAGCCCCTAAATCTCCCGGTTTCGCCCCGATTCCAGGTGCAAACTCTACGCCGGGCCTTAAAAAATTACCGCCAACCCCTTCGCCGAATCAGCGGGGTTAGAGGAAGCGCTGGTGGCGGTTTTGAGGATCCTCCCCTCATTTGCCCTTTTCCTTTCCTTTTGCTTCGTCAGGAATTTACTCCGTCGCCGGGAAAATGACGCCCATGGGAGACTTCAGGCCCGGTAAGTCACCATTTTTTCACCTTTTCAGGCTTTTTTGTAACACGGATGGAAAGCAGAACTCCCCGAGGTGCCTCCCCAAGGCCAAACTGGGCTTTATTTTCAGCTCGGTTGGTCAAACGTGTCTCGCCATACGCAGCGTTTCTCCCTGAACTTGGTTCCTTCTGTCAAACGAGAGCGAATATCCCCCAAAATATCCCGAAAGTCCAGGCCGGGGGGGGATCGAGGGGGGAATTTATCGCTCCACCCTCACGCTTGGAGTCGGCCTTTCCGCCTTCCCAGGCTCAACCTCATCCCTCTCCGCCGCAGAAAGCTTCAAAATTCAGCAGAGCTGCTTAGGTTCTCAGCTGAGGGGAGAACCCAGCTCGGAAAGAGCGGCGTGGTGCTACAAAACTCTATAAAAAACAGCAAAATCAATATATGTTGAGAAAAGGGCGCGAGGACCTTGCCGGGGGCGCTGTGGATTTGCCGAAGGGAAAGGGGAATTGCCTTTTCCAGCCTTTCCGGAGGACTGAGCTGCTTGCTGGTGGCTCGGGTTCCTAGCTGGCGTAAAGCCCTGATTTCTCACCCGGTTTTACCTCTCGAGCAGCATCCCCGGACAGCTTCGAGGACGATTACGACGACGTGTCCCTGTCGGAGTCAGACCGTGGCCACAAGCCGCCGGCGACCGACGAGGATCTGCAGAGCCAGAGGAGCAAAGGGGGCACAGGTAGCGCCCACCCCCTCGCCCCGCGCCGCCTGGGGGCTCCACCACCTCTGACCCCAAAATGCCCCCAAACCGTGTGTCCCCCCCCCCCCCCCCCAGCGCCTTTTTCCTCCCTCCCAACAGGGCTTTACATCCTGGCAGGGAAGCCGCCGTCTCCGAGCCCTTACCAAAGGGGTGAGCCGCTCTCAGCTGACGGTGCCCCCCCACGGGGGAGGCCTGGGCCCGGAGCCGGCCCCGGGCAGTCGGGGTTTCTCCCCGATTCCCTCCCACGCTGCTCTCCGCAGGCGGCCCGGAGCCCCGGGGTGGCAGGGGGCAGAGCGGCAGGGTGACGTCGGTGGCCGTCCTCTACGTCCTCGTGGCGCTGAGCTTCGTGGCCTGGGTGCTGCTCTTCGCGCTGGCCGTGGTGAAACGTGAGTGTCCCCGGAACCGCCCTCGCCGGGCCGCCAAGCAGCCGGGGTTTGGTTAAAACACTCCCCCCCCCACCCCAAAAAAAAAAAAAAGAGGATTCTCACCGTTAAAAATACCACGTGGTTTGTGCTCATGGAGCTCCACGCGTCCGGCCGCGTGGCAGCCGCGGCTACAGCCCGTCTGCCGTCATGGTGTGGTTGGAACTCCTCCTCCCTAGGTGAGGTTTAGGGGGATTTATCACCAAATTGCCCCCCCCCCCCCCCCGGGTGCTCCATCGGGGCGCTGCCTCCCCCTGCCCGCACCGGCAGCACTTCCCCGCTTGCTACGGGCTGCAGCCCCGGGGTAAATCCACTCTGAAATTCCCCACCCAGCCCAACCAAAAAGCCATAAATCGGCCAAATTTAGACGCCGCTTGCGATCCCTTGGTACGACCCGGCCGGGTTTTTGTCTTTGGTGCTCGTTGCAGAGATGGAAATCGTGGCAGAGTTAAAGCTCCTGAGGTCGAACTACTCGGAGAATCAAGCCAACGGTAGGCCCTGGGGTCCGCGGCCCCGCGGGGAAGTTTCGTGGCTCTTGGGAGACCGATTTTTTTTTTTTGGTGTTTGGCTCTTTTTGGCGCTGGTTGTGCCTTTCGGTGTAAATCAAGGAAAAATCCAACTGTCTTTTTGAGGGGCTCCTGGTTCTGCTCCGTCTCTTAGCGAAGCGGCGGCAACTTTGACTTGTTTCTGATTTCCACCGGGACTTACAGCAGGCAAATGGCTGAGCTCATGCCCCAGTCCCGAAGGAATTATCCCCGAAGCAGGAGCAAGTCAGCCCTCGGGGTATCACAGTGTTTATCCCGATTAGGGAGGAAAATCCACTCCATTGTCTCTGTTAAAGGTCACGGGAAGGAGAGGGCGTAAATCAGAAGGAATCTACAAAAGGCTAGATAAACCCTGCAAATTAAATTTCTTCGAAATCCTACAGAAAATTCTACAGAAGTCAAATATAATGGGCCAAATCCTTAACTGCTGCCAAGTGAGCGATCGGTTCAGTTATACTGTGGGTGATGCTGCAGCAAAATGTCACCCACGGAGTAAAAAACACGCGGCCAAGCCGGCGGCTGGTGACGTAAGAGCCTTGGCAGCCCCAATTCAGGTTTCTGTGTGCGGAAGAGTAATAAATCCCGGGGTGGCGGGGCGGGGAAAAGCTCAAGATTTGGGTAAACCAAAGCGGGGGAAGCAGGAAAAAGCCCGGGGGGGGGTGGAGACGGGGCCGCTGACCCCGCTGCGCTCCCCAGTGCGGCAGGAGCTGTCGGCCACGCGGCGGGAGCAGGCGCGGCTGCGGAGCGGGATGCACCAGCACTACGAGGAGCTGCAGGACATCGCAGGTAGCGCCGCGCTTCCCGGCCCGCTGGTCCCTGGCGCTCGCGTGCCGGGGAGAGCAAACCTGCTGGTGGCAGCCCAGGGAGACCCACCGCCTCGGTCCCCGGGGCGGGGGAGAGTCTGGGTGACTCGTCCCCGGTTGGAGACGCCCGGGGAAGCCGTAGGAGGTTTCCCCGGTAGAGAAAAAAAAGCGGGTTCGGCCCGAGCTCGGTGGGTTTCTCGTCCCCCCCAGCGCTGATCTGCAGATCCGTCCTGGACAGCAAGAAGTGCTCGGCCGGCTGGAAGGTCTTTGAGAAGAGCTGCTACTCCTTCTCGACGGAGAAGATGAGCTGGCTGGACGCGAAGGAGATCTGTGCCGACCAGGGCGCTCACCTGGTCGTCATCAACTCGGAGCTCGAGCAGGTCGGTTGGCCGCTTGCAGGGGAAAAACCCGCCGGTTTCTTGGCGTGCGGGTGCCCCAAACGCCCCTTTTGGTGGGGAACTCCTGCCCGGGCAAGCACAGGAACCCCAAGCCTTTTTTTTTTTTTGGGGGGGGGGGGGGGACAAATTAAGCAACCTTGGCCATCAAGCTCGGGGTTACTTGGGGGGGCAGAGAAGCGCCGCTGGCCAGGGCGAGTTCAGCCAGCGGTGCCTTCCTCCTTTTAGGAAAAAACGTTAAAACGGAGCAAAACGCCCCTAACGCCTCCGCTTCGGGGTGCCGCGCGCGCACTTCAATCCACCCGAGTTATTCCATATATTTACCCCAAAACTCTGCTCAGGTGTCGTGGCAATGACCTCGCCTTAATTGCCAGAAGCCTCAAGACGCCCCCTGGCCCCCCCGAAGCATCGTTTTGGGGTTGTTTTAACCAATTCTGCTTTTCTAGGCGTTCCTGAAGGACAGTATCAACAGCAGCAGCACGTACTGGATGGGAGTGACGGATCAGCTGGAGGAAGGCACCTGGCTCTGGACCAATGGCGAACGCACAAGCATTAGGTAAAATCTCCCTCTGGGGATTCCCCAGGAACAGGAAATAATCAGAAAATAAATGGAAAAAAGATGAAGTTGACCCACCGAAACTTTGTTTTTCAGTAGTTTTACATAAGTTGAAGGATTTACGTTGAAAAAATTGTGTTGTCGGAGCATTTTCTTGCTGGCAGCCAAAAAAAAAAAAAAAAAAAAGAAAAAAAAAAAAAAAAGAAGCATTTTAGTGGTTTCCTTCCCTCAAAATATAAATTTTACCTCTTCCTGAGAGAGCTTCACCGCTGCGGGGCTCAACTTTATTTCTTTATTATTTTCTGGTTTTCTTCTTCTTTTCCTCCTCCTTGCTCCAGCTACTGGAACACGTGGAAGGAGAACAAAGACAAGGACCAGAAGGACTGTGGCAGCATCGGGCCCGACGGCATCTGGAACGACGACAGATGCTCCCACTTTAACCACTGGATTTGCGAAAAGTCCTGGAATTGCTGACTGCAGCGTTACTTTTTCCTGTTTCTGGACGATTTTTAAATGTTCCTGTAAAAAGAAAAAAAAGAAAAAAAAAAAAAAAAAAAAAAAGTACATTTCAAACTTCCCGCTGGGGAGCTGGGTGAACTCATGCAGCTTCAGGGGGATCTGGAGGCTCCACACTCCCATTTTTTGCCTATTAATGACGTGAAAATCCCTAAAAAAATCAGTCAAACCCTGTGACCTTTGTCCGTGCAAACCTGGCTCACAAACCGTGAAAATAAAAAGGTGTTGTCAGTTAAAATAACTGCTGTAGAATGGTTACAACCCCGCTCCCCAGTGCAGAAATGGTCCCGTTTCTCAGCGTTGCTGAATTTCTCCTTTTTCTCCCAGCTTTGCTGCCACATTGTGGTTTCTGCTTAACTCTCAAAAAAACCCCCCAGTTTCAGTAAAATCCTAGCTTTTTCCCGCTTTCCAAAGGCTTTTTTCAAAATTTATCCCTCCCTCCCCCAGGCATCATGCTCAGTCCGTGCCCAGCTGTGGCCCCACAGTCAAAAAACCCCCAACCCCCCAATTCGCCTCGTTTGTTTGTGTCTTAATTCAGCACATTATCACCCAATAATTTTTTTTTTTTTTTTTTTTTCTCCCCCTAAAAAACGCAGCATGTGTCATTCGGTCTTTTTTTGCCCCAAATAAATAAAATGGCCCCGGCACACTCATCCCGGTGGCTGAAAGTTTCTGAAATTGAAGAAATCCTGTTAAAATCATGTTGTGATTCTAACGCTTGGTGTTTTGTTTTTTTTTTTTTTTTTAAAAGGGTTATGAGCTAAAAAATGATGTTTGGGGGGAATTTAAACATTATCAATTAGCGGAAATGCAATGATTCGTTACGGGTAACAAAATTCCCTCTCCGGGTTGACAATTAACCATGAGAGCTCCCTCCCCTCCCCTGAAAATTAGGAAATTTGAGCCGGGCTTGAGAAATCTGCTGTAAAATCAACAAAAAAAAGGACCCGTGGCGGAAAGTGAAACTGGTTTCAGGCCATTTTTGGCCATTTTCCAACCACAACCAAAAAAATCGACGGATGGTGGAACTGGCACAAAGGGATGCTGCTGCCCGCAATAAAAAATTGTTAATTTGACCAAAAAAGCCACTTTTAGCGGAGAAGTGTGCTGGGACGGAGGCGGTCCTTGCTTACGTGGGCATCGCTGGATCTGCGGGCGCCGGGGACGGGGACGGGCGTTACGGGGAGCGCGGGGGCTGAGCGGTGTGGGGCTGGGGGGTCCCGGGAGCGCTGAGCTGGTGTGGGGCTGGGAGAGCTCTGGGCACACGGCTGGGAGTTGTGGGGAAGGCACTGGGGGCACTGGGGGGGCACTGGGGGGTTACTGGGGGCACTGTGGGGTTACTGGGGGCACTGGGGGGGCACTGGGGGCACTGGGGGGGCACTGGGGGGGCACTGGGGGGGCACTGGGGGCACTGGGGGCACTGGGGGCACTGGGGGGGCACTGGGGGGGAACTGGGGGCACTGGGGGGTTACTGGGAGCACTGGGGGCACTGGGGGCACTGGGGGGGCACTGGGGGCACTGGGGGGGAACTGGGGGGCACAGGGGGGGCACTGGGGGGGCACTGGGGGCACTGGGGGGGAACTGGGGGGGCACTGGGGGCACTGGGGGGGCACTGGGGGCACTGGGGGGAACTGGGGGCACTGGGGGGGAACTGGGGGGGCACTGGGGGCACTGGGGGCACTGGGGGGCACAGGGGGGGCACTGGAGCAGGGACACAGCCCAGTCCCAGCACTGAGGGGGCACTGGGGGGGCACTGGGGGGTAACTGGTGGCACTGGGGTGGCACTGGGGGGACACTGGGGGGGCCGTGGAGATGGGGGGGGGGAGTGCCCAGGGCCCCCCAAAGCCACCATCCCCCCCCACCTCTCCTCAGCCTCCCTCGAGGCCCCATTGGCTGAGCCGCGCTGCCCATCTCAGCTCACAGCCAACCGCCGCCTTCTCTGTGCTCTGGGGGGGCGGGATTTCCCCTTAGCACCGCCTCCCAGGGCCACCGCTGCCCATTGGCTGGCTCCACTGCCGTTCGGCCCGCCCCTGCTGCACGATAGGCTCCTCCCCCTGCACCCGGCACCACCCAGGAACTGCAGGGGGCGGGAAGACGCGCGCCAAGCACCATTGGCTGCCAGCCCTGTCAGTCAAGAGCGAGCAGGAAGCTAACTGGCCTGTGGGGGAAGGGAGGCGGGGCTTGGCTGGTTTAGGGGGTGGATGGGGAGGCCACACGCCTCGGGCCCCTTTCTCTGCCCCCCAAATGGCTCTGGGCCCCCTCCCCGGACCCCCAGGAGGACCCAGGTGTCCCCCACCCCCGGCTGCATCCAGCCCCACTCCTCAGGGACAAGTCACGTGCCTTTAATCAGCTTTTTTCAGCCCCAAAATCCTGACAGAGCCACGGGGCGAAGGTGGCCGGGATAGGCCAGAAACGGAGCAATCCTGGGGGAAAACCGGCTGGAAATGGGTCATTGCGCAGAAAACCACCAGAAACGGCGGGGGAGGCTGGAGGGGCAGCAGCCAGAAAAACGGCGCAAAACTATTGGAAAACTGCGGGAAATCGGTTGTCCCACGGAAAAATGCCGGAAAAAAAGGGTCAAACGTTGGGGGGAAAATGGTGAAAATGAGTTGATCCGGGGAGAAAGTGCTGGAAACAGGACGTTCCATGGAAAAATGGTGGGAAGGGGTCAAAACGGCAGGAAAAATGGTGAAAATGGGTTATTCTGCAGAAAACTGCTAGAAATAGCTCAGTCTTGGGGGAAGATGCTGGAAAATGGTCGTTTCTTGGAGAAAAATGCTGGAAATGGGTCAAATCTGCAGGAAAAAAACCCTGAAATCAAGTCATTCCACAGAAGAATGCTGGGAACTGGTTGTTCTTTGGGGAAAATGCTGGAAAATGGTTGTTTCACAAGAAAATGCAGGAAATTGGTCGATCCTGGGGAGAAGCAGCTGGATGTGATTGATCCCTGGAGAAAACACTGGCTGTTTCTTGGGGGAAAAATGCTGGAAAATGGGTCAGATATGTGGGGAAAATGCTGTAAACTGGCTGCTCTGCAGGAAAATGCTGAAAACAGGTCGGAGCTGTGGGGAGAACAGCACCAGGTTGTTCCGTAGGGATGAAAAAAAAAATGCTGGAAAGGGGTCAAAACAGCAGGAAGTGTGGGGAAAATGGGTTGGATCTGCAGGAAATGCACTGGAAACGGGTCGGTCCTGGGGGGCACCCGCCGTCACTTCTCCCACATGCAGCCCTCGGTGCCGTGGCTCTGCGGCCTCTCCCCTTCCTGGGGGCGAAAAGGGGCCACGCTGGGGTGAAATGAGGACAAAATGGGGCAGAAATGGGGCAGAGGTTCTGGGGGTTTCTTGCCAGACCCCCGAGCAACCTGAGGGGACCCGGGGGTCCAGGTAGCCACCCCCCCCCGCCACCCCTGGACCCCACATCCTTTTGGTGGCAACCAGAGGACCCAGATGTTTGGGTGCCCACCCAATGCCCCCCAAGGACACGGGTGCCCACGCAGCACCCCACAGGGACCCAGATGTTTGGGTGCCCACTCAGCACCCCCCAGGGACACGGGTGCCCACTCAGGACCCCACAGGGACCCAGATGTTCGGGTGCCCACCCAGCACCCCCCAGGTACACGGGTGCCCACTCAGGACCCCACAGGGACCCAGATGTTCGGGTGCCCACCCAGCACCCCCCAGGGACACGGGTGCCCACCCAGCACCCCCCAGGGACCCAGATGTTTGGGTGCCCACCCAGCACCCCCCAGGGACCCAGATGTTTGGGTGCCCACCCAGCACCCCCCAGGGACATGGGTGCCCACCCAGCACCCCACAGGGACCCAGATGTTTGGGTGCCCACCCAGCACCCCCCAGGGACCCAGATGTTTGGGTGCCCACCCAGCACCCCCCAGGGACATGGGTGCCCACCCAGCACCCCACAGGGACCCAGATGTTTGGGTGCCCACCCAGCACCCCACAGGGACCCGGGTGTCCGCACCGTGACATAGGTGACATGGATCTCGGAGGTCGGCATCTCTTGGGGCTGCGCTTGTCGCCTCAGCGCCCTAAACCAGCGCCGGTACTGCTCCGTCACCTGGGGACGGGACCCAGAGTTGTGTCCCGAGTGTCCCCGTCCCCTCCCACCCCCCCCCCCCCCCCACCTGGGTGCCCCCCGGTACCTGCCGGTTGAGGACGCAGTGCACGAGGAAGATGAAGGCTCCCTGCAGGCTGTTGATGATGGTGAAGATGAAGGCCACCACTAGATTGTCCCCCTGCGCCTGCAGGAAGCCCAGACCCCACGTGCAGCCCAAGATACAGATGTGCGCCAACGCCTTGAACGTCATCAGCCTGACGGAACACTCATTTTGCTCTTTTTTTCACCCAAACCCCATCCCAGGTGCTCCTCCTCCTCCCTCCAAAAACCGTATCGCGCTTCCCGCTGACGTGGAAACCCACCGGGTGTTTTTTAGGGCTGTGATATCAGTGTTGAGGGAGGAGAGCTTGTCCCGCAGCGTCCAGAGGGTGGTGAGAAAAAATGTCAAATTAACCTGGGCAGAAAGCAAAAAAAACCCCATCATTTTGCAAGACAGGGGCCGTGGGTCGTAAATTTGGGGTGGAAAAAGGTCAACGGTGCAAAACCGTGCACTGTGGCTTGACCGTCCCTGGGCACACCCAGCCCGGGGGATGTTCCCGTAACGCTGCCCGTCAATAGACATGTGAATTTGCTGTTTTTATGGAAATCTCTAAAAATCCTCAATCTGGGGTCCATGAGGGAAAGAGCCGTGGCCACAATCATAAATTTGGGGTGGAAGAGGGGTCAGTGGTGCAAAGTACCCACCATGCCAAGTGCACCCAGCCCGTGGGGCATTTGCTTAATACCGTTCTTAAAGGTTCGTCTAAATTTGCTCTTTTTTTTCTCCCGGTTTTTCCCCCCTCTGCCTCCTCTCAGCAGGAAGACACCCACCAGGATGATGACACAGATAGGACCGAGGAAGCTCCAGATGAAGCCTCCCTCCGTGCTCAGCCAGCAGCTAAAAAAGGAGAAAAAGGGAAGTATACCCCCAAAATTCCTTTGGGGATTTTGGTGGCGTGAGAACACCCTCATCTGGCTGCTGTCCTTTTTGGGGGTGATTTAGGCAAAACACATGGATGATCCCACCCCGCCTGGTTGACCCCAGCCTGGGTGCTGGTGGGACTCACTAGTGCTTCGTGCCGTAGCCCTCGGGATGGACGGCGGCGGAGATGGCCACCACGACGGCCGGCGTGCCGTAGCCCACGGGGTAGATGTATCTTTTCCTGAAGCGATTGATGCTGGTGTAGTTGAGGACGCTCAGGTTCCTGACGGTGAGGAAGAGATGCAAACCCTCCAGGAACATCCAGGTGAAGCAGGCAAGGAAGAGGTAGTGGAGGAAGCCCGCCGTGATGGCACACGCCAGCTGGATTGGGGACACCAAGGCCACGCTGGGCTCCCCAGTGTCACCACACTGTGGCCTGGGGAGGCGGTGGCATCTCCGGCACTTGGTGGTGTTCCACGCACCCCAGCGCGGCCTCAAGGAGCCTCGAGGGGATGGGGGTGCTTTGGGCTGGGGGGAGACTGGAGACATCCAAGTGTCTCTTCCAAGCTGAGCTATCCCATAATCCGGTTGGCTCCACCCACCCAGAGGAAGAAGGGACCCAAGAGCCTGGGGGCATCTCAATTGGGTGGACCTGCTTCGGGTTGGGGTTGGCCTGGAGACCTCCAGACATCCTGTTCAACCTTGGTTGTCCTGTAATTCAGGTGTTTTCACTCACCCGGAGAGAGAGGAGACCCAACAACTCTGAGGAACCTCAACCAGTTGGACTCACTTTGAGCGGAGATTGGTCAGGAGACCTCCAAACATCCCGTTCGACCTCATTTATCCTGTAATTCAGGTGCTGACACCCACCCAGACCAAGGAGGGAACCAACAACCCACAAGAACCTCAACTAATTGGACCTGTTTGGCGTTGGAGTTGGACCAAACCTTCCAACCTCAGTCATCCCATAACCCAGGTGCTTGCGCCCACCCAGCGTGAGGTGGGACCCCCACCAGAAGGTCTGCTGGAGCTATTGGGGTAGAGGCTACAGCCAAGAGCCATGACCCTGGGTCCATTTCCCCACAAGCTCCCCAAGGACCTCAGGGAGATCCTGGGGAGCTTGAAAAGGCTCCAGAGACCTTATGGAGACCCAGAGGAGCAAAATGAGATGCTGAGGAGCCTCCAGTGGTCCCAACGTGCTCAAGGAGACCCTGAGGAGCATGTGAAGATCTTGAGGAGGCTTAAGGAGACCCTGATGGCTCCAAGATGCTGAAGGAGACCCTGAAGAACCTGTGGAGACCCCAAGGAGCCCCTGGAGGTCCCAGGATGCTGAAGGAGACCCTGAGGAACCTGTGGAGACCCCAAGGAGCCCCTGGAGGTCCCAGGATGCTCAAGGAGACCCTGAGGAACCTGTGGAGACCCCAAGGAGCCCCTGAAGGTCCCAGGATGCTCAAGGAGACCCTGAGGAACCTGTGGAGACCCCAAGGAGCCCTTGGAGGTCCCAGGATGCTCAAGGAGGCCCTGAGGAACCTGTGGAGACCCCAAGGAGCCCCTGAAGGTCCCAGGATGCTGAAGGAGACCCTGAGGAACCTGTGGAGACCCCAAGGAGCCCCTGGAGGTCCCAGGATGCTCAAGGAGACCCTGAGGAACCTGTGGAGACCCCAAGGAGCCCCTGAAGGTCCCAGGATGCTCAAGGAGACCCTGAGGAACCTGTGGAGACCCCAAGGAGCCCCTGGAGGTCCCAGGATGCTCGAGGATGCCCTGAGGAACCTGTGGAGACCCCAAGGAGCCCCTGGAGGTCCCAGGATGCTCGAGAATGCCCTGAGGAACCTGTGGAGACCCCAAGGAGCTCAAGGAGCCCCTGAAGGTCCCAGGATGCTCGAGGAGGCCCTGAGGAGCCCATACCTGGTTGGCAGCGCGGGGTGCGGCCACGAGGAAGAGGAGGTCAGCGACGAAGAGGCAGATGCTGAGCTGGAGGTGGAGGGCGATGCTGGCGCTCCAGAGCGAGCGGCACAGGAGGAAGGTGACGATGGTGAGGAAGAGGCAGACCAGCGACACCGACATCCCCACGTAGGTCACCAGCGTCAGCGCGAAGCTCTCCTGCGGGCGGTGTCACACCCGCGGCATCAACGCGAGTCCCACCCAGCGCGGGGCCGCACGCAGGCGTTGGGGAAGGAAGAAAACACCCCCCAAAAATGGGTGTTTTAGGGACGCAAGGGGGCTCCTCACCGCGATGGGGTGGATGGCCATGAGGATGGCGAAGGTGGAGAAGTGGGTGCAGGCGCAGACGGAGCGGAGGGCGTCACCCCCCACGCGGGTGCAACCTGAGGGCGACCAGTGGCCTTCGGTGTCCACCGTCTGCCAGGACACGCAGAGAGGCTCCTCGCCCGCCCGGGCCGCCTGCTGAGCACGGCCCACTCGAGACATGTCCCACGGCCCCGGGGAGGGGCCCCACTCCCCCTTCCCACCCTCGGTTTGGGTGTGGAATGGGATGGGGATGTGCCGAGCTTGGATTCGCGCCGGGATGGGGATGCACCGACCCCAGATTTGCACGGGATCCGGATTTGCACCAAGGTGGGGATGCACCCACTCCAAATTTGCACAGGATCCAAATTTGTGCCTTGGTAAGGATGCACCAAGCCCACATTCGCACCGGATCTGGATTTGCGCCGGGATTTGGATGCGCCAAATCCAGATTTGCACCGGGTTTGGGATGCACCAAACCCAAATTTGCAGGGAATGCAAATCTGCACCAGGATAGAGAGTCATGAAACCCAGATTTGCACCAAGATGGGGATGCACCAAATCCACATTTGCACAGGATCCAAGTTTGCACCAGGCCTGAGGTGCACGAGGCCCACATCTGTACCAAGATCGGGATGTGCCAGCCCCAGATTTGCACGGGATCATAATTTCCACTTGATCCAAATTTGCGCCATCATGAGGATGAACTGAATCTTGCACCAGGACAGGGATGCACCAAATTCAAATTGGTACCAGGGCGGGGATGCACCAAATCTGAATTTGCACTGGATCCTGATTTGCACCAAGATGAGAACGCACCAAATCCAAATTTGCACTGAATCTGAATGTGTACTGGGATGGGGATGCTCCAAATCTGAATTTACACCAGGATGGGGATGCTCCAAATCTGAATTTACACCAGGATGGGGATGATCCGAATCTGAATTTGCACTGGATCTGCATTCGTACTGGGAGGGGATGCTCCAAATCTGAATTTGCACCAGGATGGGGATGCACCAGATCCAAATTTGCACTGGATCCTGATTTGCACTGGGATGGAGATGCTCCAAATCTGAATTTGCACCAAGATGGGGATGCACCAAATCTGAATTTGCACTGGTTCTGAATTTGCACCAGGATGGGGATGTTCTAAATCCAAATTTGCACCAAGATGGGGATGCACCAAATCTGAATTTGCACTGGTTCTGAATTTGCACCAGGATGGGGATGTTCTAAATCCAAATTTGCACCAAGATGGGGATGCACCAAATCTGAATTTGCACTGGATCTGCATTTGTACTGGGAGGGGATGCTCCAAATCTGAATTTACACCAGGATGGGGATGATCCGAATCTGAATTTGCACAGGGATGGGGATGCACCAAATCCAAATTTGCACCGGGAGGGGGATGCACTAAATCCAAATTTGCACTGGATCCTGATTTGCACTGGGATGGAGATGCTCCAAATCCGAATTTGCACCAAGATGGGGACGCACCAAATCCGAATTTGCACTGGATCTGAATTTGTCCTGGGAGGGGATGCTCCAAATCTGAATTTGCACCAGGATGGGGATGATCCAAATCCAAATTTGCACCCGGAGGGGGATGCACTAAATCCAAATTTGCACTGGATCCTGATTTGCACTGGGATGGAGATGCTCCAAATCCAAATTTGCACCAAGATGGGGACGCACCAAATCCGAATTTGCACCGGATCCCGATTCGCACTGAAACAAATCTGCAGCAAATCCGAATCCGCACCGGAACAGGGATGTTCTGACCCCCACATCCGCCCCAAACGATGACGCTTCGCCCCCAAATCCCCCATCCCCACCCTCCAAATTTGCTCCCTCGCGCTGCCCCCTTGCCAACACCCCCCCCCCCCAACTTGATCCAACGCACTTGATGCAACAAACCCTGGTGCACTTCTTCGGGCACCCCCCCACCCCCCTTGGGGAGCCCCCCAGCCCCCCCCGCGCCCCCCAGCACCCACCGCCCGGTGCTGCAGGCTGATGTTGACCGTGACGGCGAAGGAGACGCCAGATTTCCCCACGGTGCCACCGACCACGTGGGAGTTGAGCTTCCCCCGGTGCCGCTCCGTGGTGCTCAGCAGCTCCTCTAAATCTTTGTAGACAATGAAGGCCACCGCGCTCGTGCCTGGCCGAAGGACTGGGTCAAAAAAAAAACAAAAAAAACCCACCCCGAAACCACCAAATCCGGGGCTTTGGGGAGCTTTTTTTGTGCTGCTTTTTGGTGGCTGTTTTTGTTTTCCAGCGGCGTGGCGGCCGTACCTGCCTGGGCGTTTTTAACCACCTCGTGGCAACTGATGCTCAGGTTCTCCTTGCCCACCGCCAGCACCAGCGTGCTCTGGGAGCACTTGTCACCCACCACCTCCGCCGCGGCCTCTAATTTGGGGTGAAAAAAAGGCCTTTGGGGGACCTTTGCCCTGCTCGGGGTGCCACGGCGCCCTTGCGGAGCGCGGGGAAGGGCCGCGGCGACGCTGCCCAGCCGGGTTCTGGGGGTGCTGCGAGACGTCGGGGGGGGGGGCATTGCAATGCTTTCGGGGTGCTGCAGGGATTTGGGGGGGGGATTGGGGGCACCCGTGGGTGCTGACGTACCCATGACGGAGGTGGTGAGGTTTTGGGGGCCGGAGGCAGGATTTCGGAGGGCTGCCTGCAGCACGAGGGCCTCGGCGGCCTGCAGCAGCAGCCCGGTGGTGCTGGGGTGGGGAACCGCGAGCGCCTCCGCCTGCAGCTGCTGCAGCACGTCCTGGGGGGGGGGGGACACGCACACGCACACGCACACGCGTGTGACGGGGCGCGGGCATTGCACACGGGGAGGGGCGCGCGTGGGGTGGACGTGGGTGGGGGACAGACACGGGACACGTGGTGGGGGATAAACACCGGGATGGGCACGTTGGGGGGGGGGGGGGGGGATGTGCGGGAGGCTGGACACGTGTGCGGGGGGGTGCACACGGGGATGCACGCGAGTTGGGGTGCACGTGGGATGGGCACGTGTAGAGGACGGACGCAGGAATTCACGCGTGGGGAATAGACACGGGGATGGCCGTGTGTAGGGGGCAGACATGGGACACCCACACGTGTGGGGGGCGGACACGGGACACCCGCACGTGTGGGGGGCGGACATGGGACACCCACACGTGGGGGGTGGACACCGGGATGGGCACGTGTGCAGGGAGTGCACACAGGGGTACACGCGAGTAGGGGTGCACATGGGATAGACACGTGTAGGGGATACACGGGAGAATGCACACGGGGCATAGATGTGCAGGGGCTGGACATGGAAGTGCACGTGCGTTGGGGACACACGTACAGGACACACGTGTGTAGGGGACACGTGCAGGACAGATGTGTGTTGGGGACACGTACAGGACAGACGTGTGTCAGGGACACACGTACAGGACAGGGACACACGCACAGGACAGACGTGTGTTGGGGACACACGCACAGGACAGACGTGTGTTGGGGACACATGCACAGGACAGACGTGTGTCAGGGACACATGCACAGGACAGACGTGTGTCGGGGACACGTACAGGACAGACGTGTGTCAGGGACACACGTACAGGACAGACGTGTGTCAGGGACACATGTGCAGGAGAGACGTGTGTCAGGGACACATGCACAGGACAGACGTGTGTCAGGGACACATGCACAGGACAGACGTGTGTCGGGGACACGTACAGGACAGACGTGTGTCAGGGACACACGTACAGGACAGACGTGTGTCAGGGACACATGTGCAGGAGAGACGTGTGTCAGGGACACATGTGCAGGACAGACGTGTGTCAGGGACACACGTACAGGACACACGTGTGTAGGGGACACGTGCAGGACAGACGTGTGTCAGGGACACATGTACAGGACAGACGTGTGTCGGGGACATGTGCAGGACAGACGTGTGTCAGGGACACACGTACAGGACAGACGTGTGTCAGGGACACATGTACAGGACAGACGTGTGTCGGGGACATGCACAGGACAGACGTGTGTCAGGGACACACGTACAGGACAGACAGACGTGTGTCGGGGACACACGCACAGGACAGGCCACACGTGTGCGTGGGGAATAGACACCAGGGTAAACACGTGTAGGAGCCAGAGGAGGATGCCGACGTGCAGGAGATGCGCGTGGGGCAGAGACCCACGCAGAGGGTTTGCACAGAAATGCGTGTGCAGGGGACACGCGCCAGGCACGCGCGTGGGGGCCGGGCCCCACGCACACGCGGGAGGGGTGGGCGCGGGCACCTGGAGCGCGGGGGGGGTGGGCCGCGCGCAGGCGCCGCGCAGCAGCCGCCCGGTGCTCCGCAGGCGCGCGCAGGCGGCGGCTCCCGGCGAGCTCTGGGGGGGGGGGGGGGGGGGGGGTCGGCACCCGCGGGCGTCCGTCTGTCCTTCAGCCCGCCAGCCTCCAGCCCTCCTGCCCCCCCCCCCCCCCCCCCCCGGCCGTCTGTCCGTCTGTCCCTCCCCCCCTCAACAACCATCTCTGCTCCTCCCTCCAGCCCTCTGTCCCCCCATCCCTCCAACCATCCATCTGTCCGTCTGTCCCGCCATCCTTCCCTCTGTCCCCCCCATCCATCTGTCCGTCTGTCCCGCCACCCTTCCCTCTGTCCCCCCCATCCATCTGTCCGTCTGTCCCGCCATCCCGCCATCCCTCTGTCCCTCCCCCGTCCATCTGTCTGTCCCCCCATTCCACCCTCCCTCCATCCCGCGATCCGACCATCCCTCTGTTCCTCCCTCGTCCATCTGTCCCTCCCTCCCTCCCTCCGTCCGTCCACCCGTCCTTCCCTCCATCCCTCCATCCAACCATCCATCTGTCCCTCCATCCCGCGATCCGACCATCCCTCCTTCCCTCCCTCCATCCCTCCATCCAACCATCCCTCTGTCCCTCCCCCTGTCCATCTGTCTGTCCCTCCCTCCCTCCCCCCCTCCCTGCATCCATCTGTCCATCTGTCCGTCCATCCCCCCCCCCCCCCACCTTGGGGTCCTCGCACGTCCTCCTGGCCTCCTCCAGGATGGGGATGTCACAGCTGGGGCCAAGTGCTGCAGATTTGGGTCAGTTTGGGGCCTCTTGGGGACGGGGGGGGCTCAGCACCCCCAGAATGGGGGAGAATGGGGGTAAAGGGGTAAAAAGGGGGAATAAAGGGAATTTAAAGGGAGAGAATGAAGGGATTTTAAAGGGGGAAATCAAAGAGTGAATAAAAGGCAGGGGGGGAATGGTGAAAGCGGGGTGTTTGCCCCCTTACCCTGGCAGGAGATGGTAGAGTTTTGGGAGGTGGGGGCCGTGCCGGGGGGGCACCCACAGACCCAAGGTCCCTTCTTGGACCCCACCGCCCAGTGCCCCAGGCAGCAGCTGTTCTTGGAGCAGAAGTGGGGACCGCAGGACTCTGGGGGGGGACGTCGGAAAGACATGGGGGGGGGGGGGCCAAGGATGGGGCCAGCACCCGGGTCTCAGCCTGACACTCCCCCCCCCGCCCCCCAATCTCCCACGGTGACCCCCAGATTCCCCCCAGCCCCACCCCCTTCACAGCCCCCCCCCACACTCACCTCTCTCGTCACCCTCAGTGGGGGGGAGGAAGCTCAGGAGGTGGCACAGCACTGGGGGGACACACAGACACAGGAAGAAATCAGCACCCCGGGACCCCCCCCTTGAGGAGAGTTCCCCCAGGATCAACCCCCTCATAGGGCTCAAACCCCACTTTGGGGGGTCAAACCCCATTCTCCATGCTCCAAATCACCTTTTGGGAGTCAAACCTTAGTTTTGGGGGCTCAATTCCCCCCCTTTGGGGGCTCATTCTTCCCCCATTAGGATTCAACTCTTCCCTTTTGGGGTTAAACACCCCCTTTTTGGGCTCCATGCCCCCATAAGGGCTCAAATCCTTCTACTGGGGACTCAAGCCCCTCCTTTGGGGGCTCATCCTTCCCCCCATCGGGACTTAATCCCCACTTTTTGGGGCTGAACACCCCCTTTTTCGGCTCCATGCCCCCATCAGGGCTCAAAACCTTCTTTGGGGGTCTCAAATCCCCCCTTTTTGGGTCAAACCCGTCCTTTTTGAGGTTCAGCCTACCCCTATGAGAGCTCAGAACCCCCTTTTTGGGGCGCACCCCCCTCCCCCCAAACTTCAAACCCTTCTTTTGGGGGCTCAACCCCCACCACTATGTGTCAAACCCCCTTTTTGAGGCTCAACCCTCCCCCCATCAGGACCCAAACCCCTTTTTTTGGGGCACAAGACCCCATTTTGGGGGCTCAACCTCCACCCTCCAGGTTCAAATCCACCGTTTAGGGGCTCAGCCCCCCATTTCAGGGCTTGACACACCCCCCTCCCGGCTCCAGGAGCCCCATTTTGAGGCTATTTCAGGCCATTTTGGGCTGCTTTGCACTGCAGCTCTTACAGCCCTGATCTACTTCCGTCCCTGCCTCAGTTTCCCTTTCCCCATTTCCCTCTGTTTCACCCCCAAATCCCCCCCAGGTGGGACATGGGGCGCGACTCACCCCACAGGCAGGCGGCGAGGGGGGGACACGCCATGACAGGAGACAGGACAGGGGACGCAGTGGCCCCACGGCGCCGGTGGCAGAGGGGAAGTGGCACTGGACAGCCCCGAAACCACCGAACGGCCCCACAAACCGCTTCCCCCCGCCCCGCGTGGGCTGAGGCCGGAGGCGGCTCATGGCACGGAACAGCGGTGGTGGGGCTCCCCCGCCCGGACGCCTGGGTCCCTTCTTGGAGATGGTGGCCCCACGGTCCCATCCCTGCCCGGACACCTGGGTCCCTCCTGGTGCCACCAACCCCACGGTCTCATTCTTTCCCAGACACCTGGGTCCCTTCCTGGATGTGTGGGTCCCTTCCTGGTGACACCAACCCCGTGGTCCCATCCCTGCCCGGACATCTGGGTCCATTCCTGGACATGTGGGTCCCTTCCTGGTGCCATCAACCCCTTGGTCCCATCCCTGCCTGGACACCTGGATTCCTTCTGGTGACATCAATCCTGTGGTCTCATCCCTTCACAGACACCTGGGTCCCCTCCTGGTGCCATCAACCCTGTTGTCCCATCCCTGCCCGGACACCTGGGTCCATTCCTGGACACCTGGGTCCTCTCCTGGTGACACCAACCCCGTGGTCCCATCCCTGTCCAAACACCTGGGTCCATTCCTGGACACCTGGGTCCCCTCCTGGTGACACCAACCCCTTGGTCTCATCCCTGTCCAAACACCTGGGTCCATTCCTGGACACCTGGGTCCCCTCCTGGTGACACCAACCCCTTGGTCTCATCCCTGTCCAAACACCTGGGTCCATTCCTGGACACCTGGGTCCCCTCCTGGTGACACCAACCCCTTGGTCCCATCCCTGCCTGGACACCTGGATTCCTCCTGGTGACATCAATCCTGTGGTCTCATCCCTTCACAGACACCTGGGTCCCTTCCTGGTGACATCAACCCCACGGTCCCATCCCTGCCCGGACACCTGGGTCCCTCCTGGTGCCACCAACCCCACGGTCTCATTCTTTCCCGGACACCTGGGTCCCTTCCTGGACGTGTGGGTCCCTTCCCTCAGGCCATCAACCCCGTGGTTTCATCTCTGCCCGGACGCTTGGGTTTGTTCCAAGAAACTGACTGCACGACCTTGACCTCGGCGCCCGCCCGGACGCCTGGGTCCTTTCCTGGAAATCCAACCCCCCCCCCCCCCCGGCCTCACCCCCCACCCGGACACCTGGGTCCCTTCCTGGAAATCCAACCCCCCCGGCCTCACCCCCCACCCGGACGCTGGGTCCCTTCCCGGAGAATCTGACCCCGCAGCTCGTCCTCAGCCTTGTTTATTGTCCCTCCTGGGTGGGAAGAGGCATAAATTAAAGGGGGGTGGGGGGTGGGGGGGAGGGAAAAAAGGGGGAGGGGTGCGGTGTCCTCTGGGGGGGGACACAGTTGGTGGGACACCGGAGGGTGGATGGGATGGGGGTCCGTGGTCAGCAATACTCCGAGTAATCTTCCTCCACGTAGTTTGCGGGGAACCATCCAACCTGGGGGGGAGGAGGAGGAGGAGATGTCGGGAGAAGGTCTGAGGAGCTCTGGCGGGGGGGCGCTGAGGCGGGGAAGGGGCCGTACCCGCCCGTAGATCTCTCCTTTCCACCAGCCTGGGTGGCCCTTCTTGCTGAGGACACGGATGATGTCGCCCTCCCGCAGCGTCAGCTCTGTGCGGTCCCGGGCGCAGAAGTCATAGCGGGCTTTGGCCGAGCCAAAGCTGCGCACGGCTCCTGGGGGGGGGGGACACACAGGGACATAGACGAGTCCCCCCGGTCACTCCTCATGGCTGTCCAAGTCCCCTCCATCTGGTCCCGGTGGCCATTTGTGCCCCCGGGACCGTCCCGTGGCCCAACCTCACCCCATCCCCTTGGTCATCTCCGTTGGCGCGTCCCCACAACTCAGCCGTCCCTCTCGGCCACCCATCGCCCCAGCGCTGACCCCTCGACCCATCTCTGGGCCATCACCAACAGCTCGGCCCGTGACTCAGCCCCCCCCTCCTCATCCCTGTCCCTTCACCTCGTCCCCTTTGGCCACCTGTGTCCCCCCCCTCCATTCCACGGCTGCTCCTCTCCCTCGGCCTCCAACCATTCCCTTGGCTCAGCTCCTGGTGGTTGCCCCCCGTCCTGTCTCCGTGACCCAGCTGCCCCCCCCCCCCCTCAGCCCACCCTCTCGACCACAACCGGAGCAGGAGGGACCCCACCCCGCCCCCTCCATCCCCCAGGTCCTACCAGGCGGCCGGGGACCTGCCCGGCTCTCCGGCTCCTTGAAGGGCACCACGAGCGCCGTGTCAAGGGCTTTGAAGCAATCCTTGAGCGAGCTGCGCTGGTAGAACTCCACCAGCTCCTGGGGACGACGTGGCCGAGCCTTGGGGTCACCACCAGCCCCCAACCCTAAGGGGGGGGGGGACACCCCCAGAGATCGGGGTGGGGAGGCCAGAGAAGGGGGCTCCAGTGCTCACCACGAGCCCCTTGAACGCCTTCTTCTCAGTGACGCGGTAGAGTCCCTCTGCTGTCATCACCTTGATGTGCTTCACCTCCCCGCGGTACCTGGGCAAGGAGACACGGGGGGGCTGAGCCGGGGCCTGTGCCCCCCCCCCCCGTTGTGTGTGTGTCCCCCCCCCCTCGGGGGTGTCCTCGGTGCCCTACTTGATGCTGATGGCGAATTCGCCGGCGTCCTTCACCCGCTGCCGCACCAGGAAGGCGCCGTCGGAGCGGGGCATCAGGAGCTGCTCCGCTTCCCCCCGCTCCATGGGACCAGCGTACCTGGGGGTTGGGGGATTGGGGTCCCGAGCCCCCCCGAAACCAGCAGCCCCTCCCCCATCCCAGGGCAGTTTGTGGGGATCTGGGGGGGCTACGGGGCAACCCGGATGAAGGATTTGGGGGGGACACCAGGAGGGATGGGGGGCCCTGGGGAAGGATTTAGGGAGGCTTGGAGGTTGTGGGGTGATCGCAGGAAGGACGTGGGGCTCAGAAGAAGAATTTGGGGGCCCTCGATGCCTACGGGGTAACCCTGAGGAAGGATTTGGGGGGGGGGGGGGCCCAGGGAGGATGGAGAGCCCAGGGGAGGATTTGGGGTGACTCCAGGAGGGATGAGCGACCCTGGGAAAGGATCTGTGGGACCCTGAGGGCTATGGGGCAACTCTGGGGGAGGATTTGAGGGGCCCCAGGGAGAATGTGGGGGGGGGGGACACGGTAACCCTGGAGGAGAATTGGGGTGACCCCAGGAGGGATGGGGGAGCACAGGAGGGATTGGGGGGGGCACTAAGAGCTATGGGGCAACGGCGGGAAGGATGAAGGAGCCCAGGGAGAGATCTGGGAGGTCCTGGAGGACGTAAGGTGACCCCAGGAAGGATGGGGGGACCCCAGGAACGATTCGTGGGGTTCTGGGGGCTACAGGGGAACCCTGGGGGAGGATTGGGGGGGGTTTCCAAAGGAGGATTTGGGGTGCCCCAGCGGCAATGGGGTGCCCCCAACACCAACCAGGGGTAGACGGAGAGATCTGGCAGTGGCACCTGGGGGGGGGGGAGAGAAGCAGAGTTGGGGGTCGAGGCGGGTCAGGTGACTCACCTGAGACCCTCCCCCCCCCCAGTCCCAGGACACCCCGAACAGCTTGGGGACATCAGGGTGGGCGCGGGGACGTTTTGGGGTCCCCGTACTCACGCAGATGAACGGTCTCACGGCGGCGCAAGGGAACCAGCCCAGGTCACCGTTGGCCAAGTTCCTGCCCTGGGGGTGAAGGACCATGGGGGTGGGGGGCAAGGGGGACCCCCCCCCTCCCCTGGGGGAGGCTGGAGGGACGGCAGGACTCCCGCCTGGTCACGGCGGTGCAGCCCCATCGCGGGGATCGGGCCCATTTCCACGGGGGGGGGGTCAGCACGGGCGTGGAGGCCCCACCTCCGTGGTGGGAGTCTGCCCCCATCGTGGGGGTCCAGCCCCGGGGTGGGGGAGGGCTCTGCCCCGGCCCCACCGGGGGTCCCGGCCCAGCCGTGGCTCCCCCAGCTCATCACCTCGTGGGCTGAGCTCACCGCGGGGGCCCAGTGTGGGCTTGGGGGTCAGGCCCAGCGTGACCCCGGTGGTCTGCCCCCCACGGCGGAGGTCCGTCCCCACATGACCGCTGGGGCCCCGCCCCCACCGCCCGGGCCCCGCCCCCCACCGCCCGGGCCCCGCCCCCACCGCCCGGGCCCCGCCCCCCACCGCCCGGGCCCCGCCCCCACCGCCCGGGCCCCGCCCCCCACCTCCGGGGCCTCGCCCCCACCGCCCGGGCCCCCGCCCCCCACCGCCCGGGCCCCGCCCCCCACCGCCCGGGCCCCGCCCTCCACCGCCCGGGCCCCGCCCCCCACCGCCCGGGCCCCGCCCCCCACCGCCCGGGCCCCGCCCTCCACCGCCCGGGCCCCGCCCCCCCGCCCGGGCCCCGCCCCCCACCGCCCCGGCCCCGCCCCCCACCGCCCGGGCCCCGCCCCCCACCGCCGGGGCCCCGCCCCCAACGCCCGGGCCCCGCCCCCCACCTCCGGGGCCTCGCCCCCCACCGCCGGGCCCCCGCCCCCCCCGCCCGGGCCCCGCCCCCCACCGCCCGGGCCCCGCCCCCAACGCCTGGGTCCCGCCCCCCACCGCCCGGGCCCCGCCCCCAACGCCTGGGTCCCGCCCACCACCGCCCGGGCCCCGCCCCCACCGCCCGGGCCCCGCCCCCCCCGCCCGGGCCCCGCCCCCCCCCGCCCCGGCCCCGCCCACCGCCAGGGCCCCGCCCCCGCCGCCCGGGCCCCGCCCCCCATCGCCCCGGCCCCGCCCCCCACCGCCGGGGTCCCGCCCCCACCTCCGGGGCCCCGCCCCCATCTCCGGGGCCCCGCCCCCCCCGCCTGGGCCCCGCCCTCCACCGCCCGGGCCCCGCCCTCCACCGCCCGGGCCCCGCCCTCCACCGCCCGGGCCCCGCCCTCCACCGCCGGGACCCCGCCCCCCACCGCCCGGGCCCCGCCCCCCACCGCCCCGGCCCCGCCCTCCACCGCCCCAGCCCCGCCCCCGCCGCCTGGGTCCCGCTCCCACCGCCCGGGCCCCGCCCACCGCCCGGGCCCCGCCCCCCCGCCCCGGCCCCGCCCCCCACCTCCGGGGCCCCGCCCCCCCGCCCGGGCCCCGCCCCCACCTGCCACCAGAGCTGCTCGGCCTCGGCCGCCGTCACCTCCACGACGTCGCCGGGGCTGAGGCGCAGGGGCGGGGCCAGCGCCCCCGGGGGGGGTGGGACGCCCCCGTAGGGCTGACCGGCCTCCATCTTGGGCAGCCCTGGGAGGGGCACACACGATGGGGGGCGTGGGCGCGCCCCGCCCCCCCGCCCGCGCCCCCCGGCCCCGCGCCCCCCCATCTCCTCACCCAGGTCCCCCCGCTTCTTGTCGGGGCCCTGCCGCGGCGGCTTGTGCTGCGGAGCAACGGGACCCCGGTTAGCGCCGGGGGCAGGACACGCCCCCACCTCCCGCTCCCAAATCCGGGACTTTTCGGCCCATTCTGCTGTTACCTTCCTCGCGCCAGAGCCCGAATCTGTGGGGAGGAAGAAGAAACTCATGGGGGGGGGGGGGGTTTAACCTCTGCCCTAATTAATGCCCGGTGCCAATATGGCTCCTGAGAGGTTGGGTGTGGCCACCGTTGGGGTATCCCATAATGCCTGGCTCCCTGTCGGCCATCTTGTATCCCACACCGCCCTGCTCCCTGTCGGCCATCTTGTATCCCACACCGCCCTGCTCCCTGTCGGCCATCTTGTATCCCACACCGCCCTGCTCCCTGTCGGCCATCTTGTATCCCACACCGCCCTGCTCCCTGTCGGCCATCTTGTATCCCACACTGTCCTGCTCCCTGTCGGCCATCTTGTATCCCACACCGCCCTGCTCTGTGTCGGCCATCTTGTATCCCACACCGCCCTGCTCCCTGTCGGCCATCTTGTATCCCACACCGCCCTGCTCCCTGTCGGCCATCTTGTATCCCACACCGCCCTGCTCCCTGTCGGCCATCTTGTATCCCACACCGCCCTGCTCCCTGTCGGCCATCTTGTATCCCACACCGCCCTGCTCCCTGTCGGCCATCTTGTATCCCACACCGCCCTGCTCCCTGTCGGCCATCTTGTATCCCACACCGCCCTGCTCCGTGTCGGCCATCTTGTATCCCACACCGCCCTGCTCCGTGTCGGCCATCTTGTATCCCACACCGCCCTGCTCCGTGTCGGCCATCTTGTATCCCACACCGCCCTGCTCCGTGTCAGCCATCTTGTATCCCACACCGCCCTGCTCCCTGTCGGCCATCTTGTATCCCACACCGCCCTGCTCCCTGTCGGCCATCTTGTATCCCACACCGCCCTGCTCCGTGTCGGCCATCTTGTATCCCACACCGCCCTGCTCCCTGTCGGCCATCTTGTATCCCACACCGCCCTGCTCCGTGTCGGCCATCTTGTATCGCACACCACCCTGCTCCGTGTCGGCCATCTTGTATCCCACACCGCCCTGCTCCCTGTCGGCCATCTTGTATCCCACACCGCCCTGCTCCGTGTCGGCCATCTTGTACTCCACAATGCCCCACTCCCCATCCCACAGTGCCCCACTCCCCCATGCCATGACGCTCTACTCCCCATCCCACAATGCTCTGCTCTCCCACAATGCCCATCCCCTCACTATCCCATGATGCCTCTCACCAGTGCCGCTCCTGCCGCAGGTCCCCAGCCGCCCCAGGCACTCCTTGTGCGCGGGGGCCCGGCACCGGCTGCAGCGGTACCCCTGGTAGAACGTGCCCCTGGGGGGACACCGGGACACGGAGGGACACAGGGTCACAACCAACATGAGGGGACACCCATCGACCCACCTGCACCCACCCAGCTTGGCCCACCCAGGATTGACCCAATCCTACACCCACCTTGGCCTTGGGCCAACCCAGTCTTGGACCCACGAGGTTCTTGGCCCATGTTGGCCTTGGCCCCACCAGGATGAACCCACCTTGGTTTTATCCCACCCAGGGATTGATCCACCTTGGCCTTAGCTCACCCAGGACTCAACCCACCCAACTTGACCCCCCATTGGTGTTGACCCACCTTGCCCTCCACCCAATCCTTGACCCACCTTGGCCTTGGGGCCACTCAGGGCTTGGCCCACCGGGTCCTTGACTCACCCAGGCCTCAACCCACCCAAGACGTGACCCGCGTTGGCCTTGGCTTACCCAGGACTCAGCCTACCCAATCCTTTACCAACTCCGACTTGACCCACCTTGGCCTCAAGTCACCCAAGGACTTGACCCATCATGACCTCACCCCACCTCCAACCCCTACTTGGGGCCTCCCTTCTCCCAGAGCCCCCCAGACCAAATCTCCCAGGTCACCTTGCCCCCCAGTGTCTCCCCGGAAAGTGAGGGGACATAATTTTGGGGTCCTACCTCAGCAACATCTGGCAGGCCCTGCAGGAGGTGGTGTCCTCGAAGGAGAACATCTGGAAGTCATGCCCGTCGGCCAGGGCGTGCTCAGGGAAGATGTTGGAGCTTGCAAGAGATGGGGGGACCTGGGTCTGGTGGGGATGAACTGGCCCCCCCACGGCCACCCAGCCCCCGGTGGGGCAGGTCCCTCCACCCCTGGGTGCAGGGGCACCTACAGGGCCATCTCGAACTGCTCCAGCCACTTCTTCTTCAGCTCGTGGGTCTTGAAGAAGAGCTCATACCCCTGCAGCCCGGCCGTGTCAATGAGCAGGAAGGTGTGGGTCCACTGTGGGGCATGTGTGGGGCTCAGTGACGCCCAGACGCCTGGGTCCACTGCCACGCGGACACCTGAGACCACTGGGGACCTCATTCCTGGGGCCACCCGGCTTCAGTGTGTCCACTAAGGATCTGGACATTTGGCTACACTAAGGACTTGGATTCTGGGGTCCACCAGCCCTGGCCACTTGTGGCCACCATTGACCAGGATGCTGGGGTCCACCAGACCTGGACACCTGGGTTCATTGGGAAGAGGACACCTGGGGCCACCAGAAACTGGACACGTGGGTCCACCAGGCTTTCCACCAAGGACCTGGATGCTTGGGCCCACCAGGGACCTGGACACCTGGGCTCGTTGGGAACCAGACATCTGGGTCCCAGGGTACCTTCTTGCCATCGCGAGGGCCAAGGTCACCATCCCGCAGTTGGTGGCTCTGAAGGTCCACAACGTCCTTGGCTTCGTAGGAGTCCCCGCGGCGCTTGCAGATGATCAGGGCCTTGTCCAGGAGGAAGCCGTACCTGGGGACGGAGATGGGGGCGGCGCTGGGGTCCCGAGGCCACTGTGTGCCTGGGGGTGTCCCCACAACTGCCCTGGAGTGGTCCCTGCTCCGTCTTCCGCTCTGTGACAAAGGTGTCCCCGAAGCGTCCCTGCGTTCCCACCCTTACATCCCTGTGTGGGTCCTGATGGGGGTCCTGGTCTTCCCATGTCCCCATGGTGCCCCCGTGATGTCTCCAAGTCCCCAGGGGTGTCCCCCATAGCCCTCTATTTTCCTCATGTCAACGTGACATTCCCATGATGTTCCTCTGGTGTTCCCACATCCCCATGGGTCCCCCCGTGGTGTCCCCATGGTGTCCTTGTGGTGTCCCCGTGGGTGTCCCCAGGTCTTTGTGGTGTCCCCATGTCCCCACGGGTGTCCTTGCAGCTTTCTCATGGGCGTCCCCCGGTTCCTGTGGTGTCCCTGTGGGTGTCCCCATGTCCCCAGGGGTGCCCCCCCCGCAGTGGCCCCATGGTGGCCCTCGCCCTGTCCCACCTGTCCACCTTGGAGCGCCGCTCGGTGCTGGAGACCTTCAGCTCCCCGTCGATTTTGGGGCGCCCGAACTGCGCCAGGGACTGCGGCTGTGCCGGGCATCAGCGGGGGTGTGGGGGACACGGCGGGGGGGGGACATGGGGGGACATGGAGGGGGCGCAGGGACACGGCGGGGATGTGGAGGGAAATAGGAATATGGGGGACGTGGAGGGAAATAGGAATATGGGGGACGTGGGGGGACTTGGGGCATATGGGGGGACACGGGGGACACAGGGATTTTGGGGGGACGTGGGGGGGGCATATGGGGAGACACGGGGGATAGAGGGGGACATTGGAGGGGTCCCAGGAATGCTGGAGGGGTTTGGGGGGCCAGGGGGTCCCCACTATATTGTGGAGGCAGAACTGGACGCTTGGGGAGCTTGGGGAGGGTCTGGGGGTACAGGGGGAGGCGGGGCAGTTTGGGGGTGCCACAGGGTGGTTGGGTGGGTTCCCAGGGGAAGGGGGGGGGGCTCGGGGTGGGGCTCGGGGGTGTCCCCACCATGTTGTGGAGGCAGAGCTGGACACTCGTGAGCTGTTTCAGGGTCTCGTTGTCCCGTTTGACTTCGTTCACACACTGCGCCAGGTCCTGGGGGGGCACCAGTCAGGGACCCCCAAAACCCTCCGATATCCCCGGGGACCCCCCCGATACCCTCCAGCCTCCCTTGACCCTCAGATACACCCCTGACCCCAAAGACCCCCTCGGGAACCCCCAAATAGCCTCCTAGGCTACCCAGATTTCCCCCCAACACCCCAGAACTCCCAGGGTACCCCAAGACCCATCCAGAACCCCTTCAAGACCCACAGGACCCCCTCAAGACCCCCCCAAGGCCCCTCCAAAACCTCACAGGACCCTCTGAGACCCCCCAGGATCCCCCCAAGACACCTCAGGACCCCTCCAACAATGCCAGGACCCCCTCAGGACTACCCCAAGACTTCCCAGAACCCCTCCAAGACCCGCCCCCCCCCCAAGACCCTTCAGGCTCCACCCCCAAATCCCCCAGGACCCCCCCTAAGTCCCCCAGGACCCCCCCCGGACCCCCAGGATCCCTCCGAGAATGCCAAGACCCCCTCAGGACTATGCCAAGACCTCCCAACCCCCCTCCAAGATCCCCCCTAGGATCCCCCCCAAATTCCCCAGGATCCCTCCAAACATCCCCAGAGCACCCCCCCCCGACCACTCCAAGACCCCCTAAGAACCTTCCCAGCCCCCCGCCCCCCCCCCTCTGGGGTCCCCCAGGACACTTTGCCCCCCCCAGCACCCACCCTCATGGCATCCAGGGCCCCCCGCAGCCTTTCCCTCTCGGCTGGCTCGGGGGTCAACTTCACCAGCTCCTGGGGGGCAGAGATCAGGGGTCAGGGTTAGTGTCCCCCCCCCCCGGCGGGGAACCAAGCATCCGGGGTCCCCAAGGGACCCCAGGTCCACCCCCTTGATGGCATCCAAGGCCACCCCTCCCCAGAGGATGCAAGTGTCCCCCCTGTCCCCAAGGGACCCAGGTGTCCCCCAGGGGACTCAGGTGTCCCCCTCCCTCCCCAAGGGACCCAGGTGTCCCCCCTGTCCCCAAGGGACCCAGGCGTGACCCAGGGGACCCAGGTGTCCCCCTCCCTCCCCAAGGGACCCAGGTGTCCCCCTCCCTCCCCACGGGACCCGGCTGTGCCCCCCGTGAGCAGACCTGGAGCAGGAGGTGGTACTTGAGCACCCGCTGCATCGGCACCATCAGCAGGTCCCGCAGGGAGAAGCGCCCGTTGTTGGCTCGCTCAGAGCACTCCTAGGGGTCACAGGGGTCACAGGGGTCACAGAAGGTCATGGAGGGGTCACAGGGGGGTCACTGGGGTCACAGGGGGTCATGGGGATTGGGAGAGTCTGAGGGATATGGGCGTCACAGGGGGAGTGGGGGAGTCAGAGGGGTCATGGGGGGCCATAGGGATATGAGGGATGGGAAGACATGGGGTGGGGTCCCAGGGAGGGCTGGGGGGGATCCAGGGGGACTAGGGGGGGGGATCCAGGGGGACTAGGGGGGGTCCCAGGGGGACTAGGGGGGGTCCCAGGAGTCCTGGGAGGTGTCAGAGGGTCCCATGGAGGGGACCCAGGCATCTGAACCCGCCTCATGGAGAGGTTGTGGATGGGGGTTTTGGGGGGGGCCTGGGGAGATCAGGGGGGGGTCGGGGGGGTGGGCAGGGGCCCCAGGGGTCTGGTCCCACCTGCAGCTTCATGCGGAGGTCGGTGCTGGTGGCGAGCTGGTCGAGGCGCCGGGCAGCCGCTTCCACCTGGCTGCAGTAACGGCCGTAGAGCAGGAACCTGCGGGGATGGAAACCACCCAAATCCACCCAAATCCACCCAAACCCGCGGCCGGAATCTGCCCCAAACTGAGCCAAAATCAGAGGTGGCACCAGACCCAGAACGGCCCCGCATTGGACCTGAAATTGGACCCAAATGAGGCAGAATTGGCCCCAAAATGGACCTGAAGTTGGACTTGAAACAGGCAGAATTGGAGCTGGTAACAGACCCCAAATGGTCAGAACTGACCCAAAATGGCCCTGAAATCTGATCTGAAATCAGACCTGAAACTGGACCCAAAATGGGTGGAACTGCCCTCCAAATGGACCTGAAGTGAGACCAAAAATGGACAGAATTGGCCCCAAAATGGACCCTAAAATGGGCCTCCCCCCCTCTGCCCCCCCAAGGACCCTCTCTGGTCCCCCCCAGCCCCCACTGTCCCCCAGGACTCCCATTGCCCCCCCCGGACCTTCCCAGGCTCCCCCCCCCCAGGCCCCCCAGTGCCCCCCAGTGCCCCCCACCTCTCCTTGTAGGCGAGGAAGAGGGGGGGCAGCCCACGGCCCCCCCCAGACGCCCCCAGTGCCCCCCGCAGCTCCCCCAGGAAGAGCCGGTGCAGCTGCAGCAGCTCCTGTGGGGCAAAGTGGGGGGGTCACCCCCCAAAAGAGGGGGACACACACACCCCCCCCGGTCCCCCAGACTCTTCTAGGACCCCCTACTGTGTTTACTGGGGGTTACTGGGAGCACTGGGGGGGTCATTGGGAGCCCTGGGGGGTTACTGGGGGGAGTGGGAGGTTACTGGGGGCACTGGGGGGGTTACTGGGGGCACTGGGGGGGGTTACTGGGGGCACTGGGGGGGTTACTGGGGGCACTGGGGGGTTACTGGGAGCCCTGGGGGGTTACTGGGGGCACTGGGGGGGCACTGGGGGCACTGAGGGGGTTACTGGGGGCACAGGGGGGTTACTGGGGGCACTGGGGGGTTACTGGGGGGCACTGGGGGGGTTACTGGGGGCACTGGGGGGGTTACTGGGGGGAGTGGGAGGTTACTGGGGGCACTGGGGGGTTACTGGGGGCACAGGGGGGGTTACTGGGGGGAGTGGGAGGTTACTGGGGGCACTGGGGGGTTACTGGGGGCACAGGGGGGTTACTGGGGGCACTGGGGGGTTACTGGGGGCACTGGGGGGGGTTACTGGGGGCACTGGGGGGGTTACTGGGGGCACTGGGGGGGCACTGGGGGCACTGGGGGGGGTTACTGGGGGCACTGGGGGGGCACTGGGGGCACTGGGGGGTTACTGGGGGCACTGGGGGGGGTTACTGGGGGCACTGGGGGGGCACTGGGGGCACTGGGGGGTTACTGGGAGCCCTGGGGGGTTACTGGGGGCACTGGGGGGGCACTGGGGGCACTGGGGGGTTACTGGGGGCACTGGGGGGGGGTTACTGGGGGCACTGGGGGGTTACTGGGAGCCCTGGGGGGTTACTGGGGGCACTGGGGGGGTTACTGGGGGCACTGGGGGGGCACTAGGGGCACTGGGGGGGTTACTGGGGGCACTGGGGGGGCACTGGGGGCACTGGGGGGTCCCGGGGCCACCTCGATGTTGATGAAGATGCTCTCGAGGTCTTGGGGCTGCAGGAAGTGCCGCAGCGGCCGCAGGAAGTGCTGTGGGTACGGGGGGTTCGGGGTGGGCGCGCTGGGAGGGGGTACGGAGGACACGGGGGACCTTCCCCGTGCCCCCTGTCCCCCTGTCCCTGTCCCCCGCGTCGCCACCGCCGTCCGTGTCCCGCAGGTCCCCCCGAGTCCCCCACACCTCCCGTGTCCCCCTTGTCCCCATATTCCCCCACGTCCCTTCACGTCCCCAGAACCCTCATGTCCCACTGGCCCCTTATTTTCCAATGTCCCCCCACGTCCCCTACGTCCCCCGTATTCTCCCGTGTCCCCAGTGTCCCCATATTTCCTCAATGCCCCCCCACAACCCCCCATATTCCCACGTGTCCCCCATGTCCCTTACTCCCCCATGTCCCCAATGTCTCCATACCCCCCGTGTCCTTCCATGTCCCCAATGTCCCCTGTCCCCTACGTCCCCAATGTCCCCATATTTCTCCAATGTCCCCCCACATTCCCCCGTGTCCCCCGTGTCCCTCCATGTCCCCCATGTCCCCAATGTCTCCATACCCGCCGTGTCCTTCCATGTCCCCAACAGCCCACATGTCCCCAACATCCCCCTATTTCCCCAATGTCCCCCCACATCCCCCACGTCCCCAGCGTCCCCCCCGTGTCCCCACCCCACCTGGCAGATGGACTCGAGGGTCTCGGTGTACCTCTCCTCCGTCTGTCTCAGCTCCTGGAGGCAGCAGAGCCTCCGATCCACCTCCACCTTCTGCAGAGAAAGTGGGACCCAGGCGTCCGGGGGGGACACCCAGACATCTGGGGGGGGGGGCCCAGATATCTGGGGGGGGACGGACAGACAGACCCACCGCAGCCGGAGGGGGCTCCACCCGCATCAGGTCCTCGTAGATGTCATCGCCGTCGTCCCCTTCGGCTTCGACGCAGTCGTAGAGGTCATCGTCCTCCTCCGCCGTGTCGCTGTGCGGGGACAGCCTGGTACCCCCCTGCACCCCAAATCCCCCCAGATCCTCCCGAATGCCCCTCGCTGTTCCTCTGATTCCCACCCCCCCCATTCCCCTAGTGCTCTTTGATACCCCGTAATACCTCCTAATGCCCCCCAACACCCCCCCGATACACCCCCAACCCCCCTGCCACTCCCCTGATTTTCTAATACCCCCTGGTGCCCCTTAAATACCCCCCAGTCCCCCCCATTACCCCATAGTACCCCTAGGTACCCTGCTAATACCCTTGATAACCCTCTATTGCCCCCCAATACCCCGAGTACCCCCCTAATACCCTCTTATTAACCCCTTATGCACTCAGGAACTCCTTTACTCTCCCCCAATACCCCTGTTACCCCCGATACCCTTAATACCCCCCCAAATGAACCTTATTACCCCCCTAACAAACCTCAGTGCCCCCATAATGCCCCCTATGCCCCCAGGACTCCCCAGTACTCCCCTAGTGCCCCCCTAATGCCCCTTGGCACCCCAGTACCCCCCCAGTGCCCCCCCCAACCCCACTAGTACCTCCCAATACCCGCCTTCATGCCCCCCCAATGGCTCTTAACACCCCCCTAAAATCCCCCAGTACACCCCCTAATGTCCCCTATCCCCCCCAGTACCCCCCAATATCTCCTTAGTGCCCACCCAACGCCCCCTGGCACCCCTTACCCCCTCCCAGTAACTCCCAATAACCCCCTGGAGCCTGCCAACCTGCCCCAGTACCCCCCAGTATCTCCCTAACGCCCCCCCAATCTGCCCCACTTACTCAATGAGGTCAGAGAGGCCGCTGTAGATGTCATCGTCCCCAACGCAGTCCTCAGTAGGGAAGGGCCTGGAGGGGGGGGGGACACACACAGTGGGGACACCCGGGTCCCTTGGGGAGGGGGCCCGGACGTTTGGGTCCTCTACACTCACGTGAAACCTTTGCTCTGGGCGATGGGGGTCCAGGAGAGCGTTGAGAGGGTGTCAATCACCTGGGGACAGGCAGGGGACATTGTGGGGGGAGAGGTGGGAACCAGACACCTGGGGGGGGGGGGGTGTCCCCCAGGTCTGACCCGGACGCCTGGGTCCCACCTTGCCGAAGTCTTGGACGTCGAAGAGGTCGAAGGCGCCGAAGAGCCGGTGCTTCGGGAGCCCGAACTTGTCTGCGCAGGCGGTCAGGAACGTGCGGATGTTCCTCAGGCACAGGAACTGTGGTGGCACCGTGTCATCGTCACCAGGACCATCCCCACCCCCCCCGTCAGCACCCCCATTGTCATCATCCCCATCAGCGTTATCACCTCCAGCGTCCTCCCCCCATCTGTGACCACCACTGTCACCACCCCTGACACTGGCACGCCCGTCATCTCTGTCACCAACACTGTCATCATCCCTGTCACCCCATCGTCAACATCACCAACGCTGTCATTGTCACCCCCATCAGCACTGCCACCACCATCATCACCATGACTGTCACCATCACCACTGTCACCCCCATCGGCACCGGCACCATCACCATGACTGTCACCATCACCACTGTCACCCCCGTTGGCACCGGCACCATCACCGTGATTGTCACCATCACCACTGTCACCCCCATCGGCACCGGCACCATCACCGTGATTGTCACCATCGCCACTGTCACCCCCATTGGCACCGGCACCATCACCGTGATTGTCACCATCACCACTGTCACCCCCATTGACATCAGCACCACCACCATGACTGTCACCATCGCCACTGTCACCCCCATCGGCACCGCCATCATCACCAGGACTGTCACTGTCACCAACACCATTATTGTCACTGTCATCACCTTTATCATCACCATCTTTGTTGTGGTTATGGTCGTCGTCGCCCCCCATGGTCACTGTCACCATCAACTTCACTCCCATTGACACCATCGTGGTCACCGCCCTCATCACCATCGCTGTCGCCCCCATCATCGTCACCATCACCATCATCACCGTCCCCATTGTCAACACCATTGTCCGCTGGTGCCATCACCGTTATCCCCATTGTCACTGTCATTGTCACCATCCACCCTGTTGTCACCGTCACTGCCATCCCCAGTGGCACCAGCACCACCACCACCATCATCACCCCCGCTGTCACCAGCACCGCCATCGGCCTTGTCAGCATCACCGCCCCCCCTTTGCCACCACCCTCATTCGCACCAGCCCTGCCCCTGTCACCGTCACCATCATCCCCGCTGGAACCAGTGCCCCCCTACCCCCTTCTGGGCCAATTCCCCCCCCCGGTTACCCCACCCCGGGGCAGTTCCACCCCCCTCCCAGTGGCTTTTTGTCCCCCTCCCCGGTCGCACCTGTGACATCTGGGGACGGGGACAGATGTCTCGGGGGGGCACGGCGCGGGGCAGGAGGGCGTTGAGGAGGTGGCAGAGCAGCACCCCGTCCCTCAGCGCCTGCGCCAGGTCCCACACCTGCCCCCCGGGGCTGCTCGCCCGGTGCCCCGTGGGGAGCACCCGCGCCGCCACCAGCCAATGGGCGCACTGCCGCCACGCCTCCATGGCGCCTGCTGATTGGGGGGGCCCGGCGGGATGGCGTCGGGGGACGAGCCAATGGAGACGGGTCTTGGTGGGGCCAACTCTAGGAGGAGCCAATGGAGACGGGTCGTGGTGGGACCAACTCTAGGAGGAGCCAATGGAGACGAGTCGTGGTGGGACCAACTCTAGGAGGAGCCAATGGAGACGGGTCGTGGTGGGGCCAACTCTGGGAGGAGCCAATGGAGACGGGTCGTGGTGGGACCAACTCTAGGAGGAGCCAATGGAGACGAGTCGTGGTGGGACCAACTCTAGGAGGAGCCAATGGAGACGAGTTGTGGTGGGACCAACTCTAGGAGGAGCCAATGGAGATGGGTCTTGGTGGGGCCAACTCTAGGACGAGCCAATGGAGACGGGTCGTGGTGGGACCAACTCTAGGACGAGCCAATGGAGACGGGTCGTGGTGGGACCAACTCTAGGAGGAGCCAATGGAGATGGACCCTGGTGGGATCACTTCTAGGAGGAGCCAACGGAGATGGAGTTTTGCTGGGACGGGTCCTAGGGGGGAGCAGCAGCAGATGGGATCCTGCAGCGCAACCACTTCTGGGGAGCTGCCAGTGGAGACGGGGCCCTGGTGGGATGTTGTCGGAGGAGCAGCCGGTGGAGATGGCTCTCGATGGGACCACTTCTGGGGAGGGGAAGCAGGAGGTGAGGTCCTGCGGCACAACTGGTCCTGGGAAGGCTCCGGCGGAGGTGAGGCCTTGTCGGGACGACGTCCAGCGAGGAGATGATGGAGGCGAGGTCCTGGTGGGGTGGCTTCTGGTGAGGAGCTGATGGAGACGAGTCTTCGACCGCTTCTGGGGAGGCTCCTACAGCGAGGAAGCTGTTCCCCCACCACGAACCACCATGTCTGGGGAGGAGCTGGTGACGACGGGGCCCCACGGCGCAGCCGCCGGCGGTGAGAGGCGCCCGGCGTTGGTTTCCTTCCCGCCGCCGCCGCCGCGCCTGGAGAAGACCGGGTGCCGATGGGCTCCTTCTCCCTGGCTCACCCGCTTCTGGGGAGGGTCTGGTGGCCTTGGGGACCCCCCCGGCGCGGGCAGCAGTGGCAGCGGGGCCCGGCTGGGCCTGGGGGTTCGTGGGGGTGCCGGATTCAGGCGGTGCCGCGCCTGCGCCCTGGGGTGCCGCGGGGGCCAATGGGAAGACCAACGCGGCACCCGGATGCCGGGGAGGAGCTGCTGGCTGTGGGGGGCCCCCTGGGGTCATGGCCTGCAGAAAAATACGGGGGGGGGGGGGGGGTGTCCTTGGGGGGGGCCCAGGCATCCGGGACCCATGGTGGGATCTGGGCACCCAGGGTCTGCACCCGCACCGAGGGTCCCAGGAGGGACCCAGGGCGTCCCCACATGGTGACCCCGTGGGTCCCAGGAGGGACCCAAGTGTCTGGGATCCATCGGGGGGGGTCCCGGGGGGGGTACCCAGGTGTTGGGGGGTCTCAGGGGGGTCTCGGGTGTTGGGGGGTCTCAGGGGGGTCTCAGGTGTTGGGGGGTCTCAGGGGGGACCCAGGTGTTGGGGGGTCTCAGGGGGGTCCCAGGTGTTGGGGGGTCTCGGGGGGTACCCAGGTGTTGGGGGGGTCTCAGGGGGGACCCAGGTGTTGGGGGGTTTCAGGGGGGACCCAGGTGTTGGGGGGTCTCGGGGAGGACCCAGGCGTGTGGGTCCTGCCAAGGGTCCAGGAGGTGACCCCGGGTGTCGGGGGTCCAGGGGGGGACCCAGGCATCCAGCTCCTTGCCCACCCCGTGACCCAGAAGGTGCCCCCTGGTGTCCCCGTCCCCGTCCCCCCCCCCCAATTCCCCGTCACGTGTCCCCCCCTCTCCCGGCCTCCGTGTCCCTCCCCACCCTCCCCGCGGTGTCGCAACCCCCCGTGGCCGTGGCCCCCCGCCAGCCGCCTTCCCCGAAATGAGGAAGGACTCGGGCAGCCCCTCCCCCACCCCTCCGTGGGTGCCCCCGAGGCGTCCTGCGGTTCCCAGTCCCCCCCCCCAAAGGATCTGGGGGACCCCCCCCCCCCAAATGGGTCCCAGACTCCCTCGGCACGGATCGACCACGGAGGTCGAGGTGGACCCGCCCCCACCCCCCCGCGGGGCCCCGGGCCTCCCTGGCGGGGGGGGGGGGGACGCGGGCGGGGGGGGGCTGGTTACCCATTAACCGGTGGCGCCACCATAAAGGGACCCTCCGGCCCCCCCGGCCCCGGCCCCCCCCTCCGCCCCTCCAGCCATGGGGGCTCCGGTGCTGCCCCTCTTCCTCGCCCTCCTGCTGCTGCACGTCACCCCCACCCGTGCCCAACTGTGAGTCGTTGCGACCCCCCCCACCCCGCCCCCCCCATACATGGGACACCCCCCCCCCCCCCCAGGATCCCCTATGGGACCCCCCCCACCCATTGGACCCCTTTTTCTGGGACCCCCACCCATAGAAACCCCCCCTGCTCCCCCCGGGACTCCCCATACACCCACGGGACCCCATCCGACTCATGGGACCCCCCCTCTTCTGGGCCCCCCCCCCCCCCCCCCACCTTGGGATGCACCCTGGGATCCCTCATGCCCCCATGGGACACCCCCCCCCCCCCCAACCTCACTGGATCCCCTCTTCTGGGACACCCACCCACCCCACCCATGGGATCCCCACCCATAGGACACCCCCCCCCTTGGCTGGGACCCCCTCCCCAGTCAAGACCCCCCCTGCCCTAGATGGAACCCCCATGGTCAGCCCCCCCCCCTCATAATTGGGAACCCCAGAACCAAGACCCCTCTGTCTGGGACCCCCACCCCAACTGGGACCCCCCTGCCGGGACCCCCAACCTACCCGGGACCCCCCTGACCGGGACCCTCCCCCAGGGGTGGGTGCTGGAGGGAAATGGGGGGATTTGGGGTGCAATGGGGGATATTGGGGTGCAGTGGGGGGATTTGGGGTGCAATGGAGGATTTGGGTGCAGTGGGAGGATATCGGGGTGCAGTGGGGGGATTTGGGGTGCAATGGGGGATTTGGGGTTGCTTCAAGCTTATGGAGCAGACTGGGGGGGGTGTCTGGGGTGCTGTGGGGACAGACTGGGGGCAGTTCTGGGTGCTGTGGGGACAGGCTGGGGGCAGTTCTGGGTGCTGGGGGGTCCCCGGGGTGCTGGGGGGACAGGCTGGGGCCAGTTCTGGGTGCTGGGGGGACCGGCTGGGGGCAGTTCTGGGTGCTGGGGGGGTCCCTGGGGTGCTGTGGGGACAGGCTGGGGGCAGTTCTGGGTGCTGGGGGGACAGAGTGGGGGCAGTTCTGGGTGCTGGGGGGGTCCCTGGGGTGCTGTGGGGACAGGCTGGGGGCAGTTCTGGGTGCTGGGGGGGTCCCTGGGGTGCTGTGGGGACAGGCTGGGGGCAGTTCTGGGTGCTGGGGGGACCGGCTGGGGGCAGTTCTGGGTGCTGGGGGGGTCCCTGGGGTGCTGTGGGGACAGGCTGGGGGCAGTTCTGGGTGCTGGGGGGACAGAGTGGGGGCAGTTCTGGGTGCTGGGGAGTCCCCGGGGTGCTGTGGGGACAGGCTGGGGGCAGTTCTGGGTGCTGTGGAGACAGGCTGGGGGCAGTTCTGGGTGCTGGGGGGGTCCCTGGGGTGCTGGGGGGACAGGCTGGGGGCAGTTCTGGGTGCTGTGGGGACAGGCTGGGGGCAGTTCTGGGTGCTGGGGGCAGTTCTGGGTGCTGTGGGGACAGGCTGGGGGCAGTTCTGGGTGCTGGGGGGACAGAGTGGGGGCAGTTCTGGGTGCTGGGGGGGTCCCTGGGGTGCTGTGGGGACAGGCTGGGGGCAGTTCTGGGTGCTGGGGGGGTCCCCGGGGTGCTGGGGGGACAGGCTGGGGGCAGTTCTGGGTGCTGGGGGGACAGAGTGGGGGCAGTTCTGGGTGCTGGGGGGGGTCCCTGGGGTGCTGTGGGGACAGGCTGGGGGCAGTTCTGGGTGCAGTTCTGGGTGCTGGGGAGTCCCCGGGGTGCTGGGGGCCGGGGGGGGCGGTGCTGTGGCAGCTCCTCCCGCTGTCCCCAGGGTGACGATGGTGACCCCAGCGGTGCTGCGCCTGGAGGCGGCCGAGCGGGTGGTGCTGGAGGCGCCGGGGCTGGGCGCCCCCGCCGAGGCCACCCTCCTGGTGCAGGACTTTCCCCTCAAGCGCCAGGTGCTCTACCAGGTCCGGGTGCAGCTGAGCCCCGCCGACGGCATGCTGGCCACCGCCACCGTCAGGGTGCGTCCCCAGCCCCTCCACGCCACCTCCCTGCCGGTCGCTGACCCCCCCCGCCCCGGGAAGGGTGGCCCCTGAGGCTCAACCCTGTGCAAGATGGTGGAGAATCTCCAGGGGGGGGTTGGTGGGACCTGGGGGTGGGGGGCTGGTCGCCACAGGGTCTTTGGGGACGGTCGCGCTGAGGTCTCTGGGGACGGTCACCCCAGGTCCTTGGGGACAGTGACCCTGGGGTCCTTGGAGACCCGTCTAGGTGACGAGAGGGTGGTCACCTGTGGGGCCGTGGGAACGGCCACCTCTGGATCTGTGGGGGACGGTCGCCTCGGACTCCTTGGAGGTTGTCACCTCGTGACTAGCGGACTCGTGGGGCTTTGACGCTGGTCACCCCGGAGTCCTTGGGTGGGGACTGTCACCTGGCATCCTCAGCCCCATCCCCTGGGCGTGGGTGCCCTCTGGTGTCCCCTGCTTGGTCCCCGTGGGGCAGGTGCCACTTGGTGTCCCCTGTCACCACAGGTGTCGGCCAAGGCACTGCCGCAGACAGCGGAGAAGCAGTTTGTCTCAGTGACGGCACGGGTGGCCCAAGTGACCCTGGAGAAGGTCCTGCTGGTGTCACTCCAGAGCGGCCACATCTTCCTGCAGACCGACAAGCCCATCTACACCCCTGGCTCCACTGGTGGGTTTGTGGGGTGCTGGGTCTCACCAGGGCAGGTCGGGGTGCTGGCGCAACCTCGGGGTGTTGGGTCCCCTCCATGGCACCCTGGGGTCTTGGTGGCATCTTGGGGTGTTGGGTCCCCTCCATGGCACCCTGGGGTCTTGGTGGCATCTTGGGGTGGTGGGTCCCCTCCATGGCACCCTGGGGTCTTGGTGGCATCTTGGGGTGTTGGGTCCCCTCCATCGCACCCTGGGGTCTTGGTGGCATCTTGGGGTGTTGGGTCCCCTCCATGGCACCCTGGGGTCTTGGTGGCATCTTGGGGTGTTGGGTCCCCTCCATGGCACCCTGGGGTCTTGGTGGCATCTTGGGGTGTTGGGTCCCCTCCATGGCACCCTGGGGTCTTGGTGGCATTTCAGGGTGTTGGGTCCCCTCCATGGCACCCTGGGGTCTTGGTGGCATCTTGGGGTGTTGGGTCCCCTCCATCGCACCCTGGGGTCTTGGTGGCATTTCAGGGTGTTGGGTCCCCTCCATGGCACCCTGGGGTCTTGGTGGCATTTCAGGGTGTTGGGTCTCCTCCATGGCACCCTGGGGTCTTGGTGGCATCTTGGGGTGTTGGGCCCCCTCCACAGCACTTTGGGCTCCTGGTGTGGCCTTGGCGTTCTAGGGTCCAGTACCCATTTGGGGACTTCCCCATGATGTCCCCATTTTGGGGTCCAGCACCCGTTTCTGGATGTCACCGCACCATCCCTGCTCACCTTGTCCCCCGCGTCCCCTCACAGTGCTCTGCCGCTTATTCGCTCTGGACCATCTCATGGAGCCGGTGCCCAAGACGGTGATCGTGGAGATCAAGGTGGGCGCCTGCTGGGGACACAGGGACGTGGGGACACAGCCACCCGTGCCACTGTCCCCAACCACCGCGTCTCCCTTCAGACGCCCGATGATGTCATCATCAAGCAAATGCCCGTCTCCTCGCCGATGAAGACCGGCATCTTCTCCCTCAACCACAACCTGCCCAACGTCGTCAGGTGGGTGCCACCTCCCAGGGTGGCCCGGGGACATCCGTGGCCCCGGGCTTGTCCCCTCACCCTTCCTCCCCCCTTTTCCAGCCTGGGGACATGGACGATAATGGCCAAATTTGAAGACTCACCAGAACAGGTCTTCAAAACCCAATTCGAAGTCAAGGAGTATGGTAAGGTTGGGGTGGGGGTCCCCAAAATCCTAAGTCCCTTGTCCTGGATGTGTGGGTCCATTGGGTGTCCGCCCCACAGTGCTGCCAAGCTTTGAGGTGGTCCTGGAGCCG